CTTTTTAAAAACTTCCTAATCTAAAGCAAAAGAAAACTCTTTGCTATTACGATATCAACATGTAGTGCTTGAAAAAAGGTAAGTAATGTAATCAGCTGTGGGATATAAAACTATATTTTAGGTGAATTAGCTATTGTTGGTGTGACTGGTCAGGTTCTTAAGTTTGATATAAACGCAAGACTCCGCAAGTAATCTCCTTGGAACTGTTCGGCAGCGTCCTAATTGATACCAAATTTGATTAAGTAATTTATGCTTATGTGATATGTAAGGCTGAGGACGAATTCACGACTTCTAGGAGGAATGAGTGGAGTCTTCGGTTCTATCTCAATAAGCTTATATGTGAATAAATTCTGTGTTCATCCAAAAGTGGAAGCATCACACATAGAGTCTTGTTCACAGAAGGAAGAAGACCTATTTTTTTCTAGCTACCTTACAGGGTTAATCTTGGACCTCTTATAAATGGCTTATTTATTCGATTTGGAATATCCAGCCGGTTCCAGGCGTTCAGTTAGCGGAAGAGCGGAAAAAAACCGGGATCGTGAGAGAGCTACCCCATTTCCCAGGTGTTCGCGTTTCTTCGCCTATTTCAGTCCCCTCGCTCCCTACTATCTGAGCGCCTGAAACAGGTTATGGACCATCCTTTTTAACCGCTCTGCCGAGCATTCATATTGTAAGCGTAACCAATGTTGACATTTCTCTCTCCCTTTAGATAAAATACTGTGATGACCTGGGTATTTCCGCAAACAAAAGCTCTACTCTTTACCTCTTCATTGGTATCTTTGCAACGTTAGGTCGTTTTGGAGCAGGCTTCCTGTGTACGTTTACGCAAGTGAAACCAAGAACTTTGTTTCAAGTCGTTTGCTTCACATTGGGCGCCTCCACAATGTTACTAACTGTTTTAAAAACCTATGGCGCCTTAGTGGCTTATGCCATTGTTTTTAGTTTGTCGGATGGCCTTATGGTAACGTCCTACATTATTGAATTTTTGAATTCCGTAGAGGAATCAAAAAAATCTTCAGCTCTGGGATATTCAATGTTGGTGGGTGGCGCTGGTGCTATGGCTAGCCCGCCCTTGTCTGGTAAGTTATTGGAAACTGTACATTACGGCAAGCTTGAAAAGTACACTTAAAAAGGGGCTATTATGAATGGGATTACTGGCTTGGGCGATGGGTGTCCTGTGTATTTGCGGTCACGCGCACGTTTTATAGGTTTATTCAGTAAGTTCCGCTCGCGCTGGTCCTTCGCTGAAGAGATAAAAGAGCTTGAGGCTTTAACAGGACTACGAATGTTGACCTCGTTTCAGAAGAAATTGCGACTTAATATTAGACTATATAAAAGTATTGTGACGATTGGCCATCTGAAGGACACAAACTGCTGTACCTTTACTGTATTAGTACCCTGTTCCAGGCTCTATAGTAGTAATGTACAGTGATCGTAAAATCTGGTGCGAAAAGCGCGCGGAGCTGGGGAAAGCGGAGGCGCCATTGCGCCTGCTTCCCTCAGATCACGTGTGTCTCATTTTCGCTTGGTTTGATTTTGCGAGGTCCCTACTATCTGAGAGCCTGGTACAAAGGCTACAATATAGTTGGCTGCTGCTCCTGGAGTACTGAAAGATCTTTTAAAATCTTTGAACGGTATCACTTTGACGGAAAGGGGCGAAACTAATCTTTTGGAGTTTGGTTATAAAAAATACGTAAACAAACTGAACTTTAATTATATTTGAAAAAATTAAAAAGCTTATTGCTCCTATCCTACTTTATAAAGCTAATGCGCGTAATTCAATTAATATAAATATGTTTGGTGACAAGTCCAAAATATATCACTGAAGAAATTCGCGTTTTCAGGTTCTAACCCTTACACTACTAAAAGCTGCGTTTGTCCGGAATGAAAATCATTTTCCTTGTAGAGAACCTTTTAATTTCAGCCCAATTACTAGTAAGAGACTGATACATATTAATCGTTTCGTTTCAGGTTTTATGGCCGACCGTTTTGGTAATTACACTTCCGCGTTTCTCATGGGCGGCGGAGTCGGGGTTATTGCTTCTCTAATGCCATTTCTCCTTCTTTGCCTTCAACAAAAATCCAAGAAGTCTTGTGAAAGTGAGATTATGCCTCTAGACATCATTGAATGCGAAGACGTTGCAGAAGAAGACCTTACTGTACAACAAGATGAAACAAAACTTGTAAACGGGTCTGTAAACAGTAGCGCGGTGGCTCGAAAGAATTATGAGAGATCAGCGTCTTTTGTCATGGCCATGAAGTCCCCTGTTTAGATAGCACTATGCGATGTTGTTTTATTATGGTGATAATAATAATAATAATAATAATAATAATAATAATAATAATAATAATAACATCAATAAAAACATTAATAATATTAATATTAACAGTGATGATGATGATGATGATGACAATTATGGTGATAATTCCGACGACGACGACGACGACGATGATGATATAAATTCTCACTTTTTAGCGCAAATGGAAACGAATTTCAAAGTTTAGAAGCAGCTTCTGCAAATGTGGTTACAGTACTGAATTCGACTGAGATAGCTCGATGGGGTTTTCAGGGCCATTTCCTTCCAAGTTTAAGCATTAACTTCGTCGCCATGAACTAAAGATATGGAAAAATTACCACCACAGCAGTAACTAACAATGTATTTGCAATATGCAGAAATTTTAGCTATGGTTGTCCACGAAAATATGAAACTTGGAGACGTTGCCCCTGAATAAGAGGCTCTCACTTGTAAACACGAAATTTCCGACAAAAAATTATCCCTTATTTTATTGCCTTACAAGTCATCAATTATCTTAAAACTCAAAGGTCATATAATCAAAGTGAAACCCCTCTTTTTTACGATCGGCTAAAGCTATCCCCATGATCTTTTCAAACACGTGAATGAAACAAGTGAATGAAACTACTGTGAGGTAAAGTTGCTACATATATTTATTGTTTTATTTCCACTTTTACGCCAAAGATACTCGGCTTACTGTTTCATTTTTAAGTCGTCTATTGCAGGTGACCTTGTCAGGGTAGTTTCTACGTTCACTTGGTATCCTGTGTACGTGGCATTGATAAATGGATGTCACGTAATGACCTTTACTAACAATGAAACAGAGATAATTGCTTTATGGTCTACCCAAGAACTACTGCAGCGATCGCCTTTAGACTGATGCCTGCAGAAAACTCGATAGAGAAATTGTTCATCACCATCACCATCACCTTCATCATCATCATCATCATTATAATTATTATTGTGATAGGTTTGAACCCACGAGTCATTTCAAAAGTAGGTTGAGTTTGCTCGTCCGGGTGAACGTAGTCCTGAATAGGACTGTTTTGGTTGACAGTGACTGACGTTTCGTCAACCTGTTAGGTAGTCATCTTCAGAGTCAAAGTGAGTTGTATCACGTCAGTTGATGGTATTATACTTTGGTTATTGATCTGATTGGTCAATTACGTCGTCAACCAGCTTTCTAAAGTAAGACGTTGATAGTAGTCTGTAGAATATCAAATTGACTGGGAGTCTGCGACATGTATATCGCATTCTACAGACTACTATCAACGTCTTACTTTAGAGAGCTGGTTGACTAACTTAGAAAAAACGCCACTGAACCGTAGCCAACAAATACCAGCGCCGTACAAACGACTTATTGACGAGATCAAGCAAATCTAACTACGAGAGAACGACTGGAGAACTGACAATTTGACTGACAATAGACGACTGTTTAACTGTGACAACAGACGGATCGAAACGCACCAATTACTGATTACAAGTCTTCATAGCCAATATAACATCACGGCTTAACTGACAGACGACCAATAACATCGCAACGTAAGTTGACCAGTCAGATCAATAACCAAAGTATAATATACCATCAACTGACGTGATACAACTCACTTTGACTCTGAAGATGACTACCGCACAGGTTGTCGAAACGTCAGTCACTGTCAACAACAACAGTCCTATTCAGGACTACGTTCACCCGGACGATCAAACTCAACCTACTTTTCATAATAATAATAATTATTATTATTATCATTATTAGTAGTAGTATTTCTTTTCTTTTTATCGTTATTATTATTATTATTATTATTATTATTATTATTATTATTGGTGTTGTTGTTGTTTTACTCCGCTAACATAAGAAAGTAAATAGCAATGAAAAGGCAGATAGAAAAGAAAGCCATAATACCATTGCATGTAAAGCTGCTTTTATTGTGCTAAAAAGAATCGCCGCTCAATTTGTTAGTCGTTGGTTTATACTTGAGGGTCAGGACAAAAACGCTCACGCGAACGAGGCCATTGCAGTTTCATGATTTCAATACATTTCATGCAACTGAATAAATAAAATAGAAATAAATTCCAGTTGAATGAACTTTATGTCAGTTTCAGTGTATTTAGCTTAAATAAATGTCAAATTGTGGACAATATAAAGCAACATTCTAAAGCAGAAAATTGTTAAATAATTATATTATAATATTATAAAATTACAGACTGAACTCTCTAAGGAAAAAAAAGATGATTCTGTAAGCAACTGCGCGTTTTTGTGACTGATGTTTCTAAACAGCTTCTAAAGTACAGTTTCTCTAGAAACAATATCCAGTATGTCATTGATTTGTTGTTTAGATCCTTGAAGTATGGAGCTTTTTCTCTTATGTTCTAGAGCATCGTCCCCGCTTCGTTGCTGCAACTGTAACTGTCTTTCAGTAACATCACCATATTCTCCTAGACTTATTGAGTCTTCAATATCTGTAACAACGTTTCTCTCCGATCCTCGATTTACACAAACCAGAAGAAACGGAACGAGTGACGCAACGATTCCCGCTCCACCAGCAGTAATAAATGCGGCAATGTAATTACCAGATTTGTCAGCTATGAAACCTGATGAAATATAATTATGACGTCAAAATCGGAAATGTGACGGGCGTCTAGAATGAAATCATAGCCCCCTAAGTAAGTTTTAACTAGTGACAGAGTTAGAGTTGTTAAAATATCCGGCCCCCGCCAGCCCCGGCATATTCCTCCTTAAAAAAGTACAATACAGATTTGCGTTAAATCCTGACTAGTGCAATCGACAAAGTCGATAATCTATAACACTCGATAACTATCGACAAAATCGATTGATTAAATTGAAAATCAATAAAAGTTGTGGCCAATCGATAATTATCAATGTAAATGATTTTTACCAAAGTAATCGATTTTAATCGGCGCTAAAATTTCCATGTGTTTTAGCGGTTAACAATGGTAAAGAACGGGATAATGTTTTCGGAACATTAGTACATTATTTATGTGGGTTTAGATAAATTTGTAGCAAAATTTATTTTAAAAATTACACTCACTATTCTAACAGAACATCTTCAAATCAACAGGATAAAGAAAGGTTATAAATGAGTAAACTTAAAAACTTAGGATAACACCAATCGCTAGCTGTTCGCAAGTTTTTCAAACGAGGCCAAGTGGGTTTTTGGACTTCGAAGGCAATGAACGATCATGCAATCGATAATATCGTTAAAATAGATAAAATCGATAGCGCTAACAACGAATTAAAATAGCCATCGATTTCTTTTGATTGACCGATACAATCAAAATCAAAATGTGGTTATCGATAATTATCGATTTATCAATAGGCTCTTTGCATGACTTGATCACATGATCAACTTTCGGTAAACAAGAAAACAGTTCGCTTTTGAAAAATTTTAGCAGAAAGAACATATTGAAATTAGGTAACCTGAGAATTTTCGGCCGTATATCTCAAAAGTAGCGATTGCAACGGCCGCCGAAAGTTAGAAGCATTTGTATGAGAAAAACAAGTTTTGCCATCCAGTCACGCCCAGGGTCCAGAAGAGATGTGTTTGTCGTTAAAACATCAAAACGCGTCGAAAACCTCTGAAAAAAAGGGTTATTTTAATCACGTTACAGTTTCGTTACACATTCTATAGACCGCAAACCACTCGGAACTTCGTGCCTCGGTCGCCCTTTGGGCGACAGCCTTCGGTCATCCTCCGGGCGATGTGCCGTGCGCCAGCGAGGATATGGCTTGCGGTTATTTATTTTCAAAATGGCGAACAACACAGTCGATCTGGGTCAGATAATAAGCGAAGAAATCGTTTATAGTAGATTCATAAAGATCCCATTGGGCTAATTAATCGTGCTAAGCGACTGGTATAGACATTTTTCAAGGAGATACTTTAAATAAGTAATTCATTTATTCACACGAAACTCCTCAGGACCCTGTGGTTACGCTTGCATGGTTTTCCATACAAATCCTTGTAAATTTTAAAATTTTTAAACTGTCGTGTAATCTTTTTCTTTCGCATTTAAAGGCTCAAATTGTCTGTTATGAATTAAAAGGAGGTTTGAGCCCTGTAATGCTTAAGGAAATATTTCATGACAGTTTTTGAAAATTTCGAAATTACAAGGACTTTTATGGAAAACCATGCGAGGGTGACTGGATGGCAAAAGTTGTTTTTCTCATACAAATGCTTCAAACTTTCGGCGGCCGTTGCAATCGCTTCTTTAGAGATATACGGCTGAAAATTCTCAGGTTACCTATATTTAATTTGCTCTTTCAGCCTTTGCTAACAAAATTTTTCATAAGTAACCTGTTTTCGTGTTTACCGAAAGTTGATCACGTGATCAAGTCATGCAAAGAGCCTTTTTTTTCAGATAACGGTTTTATCGATGGCACTTGTCAGAACCATTATCTCTTGTCAGAACCTAGTCAGCAGTAAATGCATTGAAGAGCACAAACCTATTAATGGCGGCCCCCCTAAGGCAAACACTCCAGCTGATATCATAGTAAATCCAAATGCAGAGGCTTGTTTAGATTCCTCGACCGAATTCAAGCATTCAATAAGAAAAGTAACATTCCATATTCCGTCCGACGCACTGAACACAATAGAAATAGCCACCAATGCTCCGTAAGTTTTTGCCAGTGTCAGCAATATCACCGAGGTTCCCATGGCAAAAGCGGATGCTTGAACTAATACTCTTGCCTTAATCCACTTTAGATTACAAAGAAACCCTCCTCCAAGACGACCTATAGTTGCGAAAACGCCAATAAACATGAACAGCGTGGCGCCTTTGTCGGCAGGAATCCCCACGTCATTAGAGTACTTTATCTAGGATCAAATGGAAATAAAGTACAAACCGAATGTAATTTATTTGTCACATGAAATATAGCTTACACAGCTGAGGTACCCGGCTTTGTATTAAAGGGGACCATGCTTTGACAAATTTGTTATTGGCATTATGGTTCTACCCGGCAGCCACGGCGTTTTCCCGGGTAAGAGACAGTCAACCGGCCCGTATTTGTGGATTCCAGTATTTTCTCGTACCCTCACACCGGCAATGCTCTGTGGCTCAGGGTCTCTAATACCAGCCGTATGTAACAAGTGAGCTTAAGCAAAGACGTTTTTGAGCACGCACGTCAACCGGAAGTGATCTTTTTTTCATTTTTAGGCGGTGGTTTTGCCCAAATTTTTGGACAAATCGTCTCTATAATATAGTAAAGACGCTTAGAAATACCAATTTGGTAGCGTCAAGATGCTTTAAAATGAAAAAAAAACTCATTTCCGGTTGACGTGCATCGCTGAAAAACGCCTATTACTAGTTCTAGGAGGTGACTTTGTCCTCATAATTATCTTTTGTTGCCCCTAATCAACCCTAATCAAACATCCCCTCCCCGCCTTTTCTCCGTTCCCGTTCCCCTGAGAACACAGCTGACGAGCTTACCAGATAAACGTAGGGTGTCAGCCGACAGAAAGCATATACACTACGTGTTAACATCAGAACGAGCAGGGCGGGTTTCCTCAACAGCGCAAGATTTAATTGAAACGCTTTTGGTGCAACTTCTGCTGGTTCATTTGGAGGAGTAATCCCTTTATGAAGTAACCATCCTGTTAGAGAGGTAAGAGCCAGAAGCCCTGCAAATACCCGGAACGTGTTCCTCCAATCAAAAACATCCACTAACGCTTGTGTGGTTGGCGCTAAAGTCATTGCCCCAATGCCTTGACCTGCCATTAAGAAACCGAGTGCAATGGTTCTTTTCTTCCTGAAGTAGTGGGTCGCAATAATTGGAGAAGTAAGGTTTATGAGCGCATAGCCAAGTCCAAAAGGTAAACTGAAGGCAATGTATAGCGTGACAATGGTGGGAACAAAAGAGCCCATAGCAAGAGCAGATGAGCATAACAGGCATCCTAATATAGTGGAAGTGCGAATCCCAAACCTGTTCAGGAGGCCACCAGAAGCAGGACTTGTGAAGCACATTACGCTTACAACTATGGATGTAAACCATGCTGAAACACAAAAGAATTATGTCAATTTTGACGGCAAAGTGTTCCCGAGTCGAAACAACAACAACAATGAGAATATCAGCAGTACCAGCACAGTGGTGCGAGCGCTAAACCCCCCACCAATGTGGCGTGGGTTTGAATCGGAGGTGAAGCCATGTGTGGGTCGAGTCTGCTGTTGGCTGTTTTCCTTTAATCTTGGACAGAATAAAATCGAACAGTAAACGTTACAGTAAACACCCGCTAATAAGAACCTACATTTTTTTAGGTCTGGCAAAAAGGTTCTTTTATTTGGGGTAGTTATTGACAATTTAGGCTAAGACAAAGTAGATTCTTAATTATAGGTTCTTAATTTGTATGAAGGAGACATAGTTGTTGAGTTTGGTCCTTAAATATACAGTATTTATTCACAACCAAGAGAGGATAAAGAACTTTGATCCTCTCTTGTTCACAACTGTACATCGCAAACTTCCTTTATGCAAGGTTAAGTGACATTCTATTAATTACATACTGAATACGATCGTTGATGTTAATGAAAGCAACGTAGTTTTGCAAACAGAAATGCTATTTTCTGACTTTTTCCCGTCCCGCTGATGACCGGTTGGCACATTAAGTGATATTACTATGTGCAAAAGGCACCAGGGCAGTACCGGAAAACAGAACGCGGGAGTCATAGAACTGATTGTAGACAACTGATACAACGAAAAATTCGTCCAAGATTTCAGTGTTCGGAAAAGGACCCAAAAGATTGTCAAGTTACACATTACTACCCAAAGAAAAAAACCGTGACTCTTAGAATTGGATCTGGCCAAAAAGAAATTGATGGCTCAAAGAAACCAGCATCTTTCTGTTAAGTACAAGGAATTTGTACTTGCGAAAAATTATTTTTGTAACTGATGTTGCAGTTCTAACTATTGAGACTATTAAGCTCGTTTTTAAATTGATCTTTCTAAAACAGTTTCATTTCTTAAAACCCTTGGATATCTTTATGACGCTTTTGAAATACGCGAAAAAGGTGCGTCTGCGAAAAAGGTAACATTGAGGGACGCGAAAAGTCGTAAAATGTCGTAAAGTCTGTATCGAGGTACAAAAAAACTTGAAACAACGCAGGTGGAAAACCTACACCAGGTTTCTCACTTCAACACAAAACATTTAGGGCTCTTAACTACGCCCAAGACTTTGGAACCACAGTGAAGGAATCGCTTAAAAGAACTACGAATTCGAAGTGGGCTACACTTACGAAAAGTCGAATTGTCCCGTGTCAAATACTTGAAAGCACAACGTGTTACACGAGATCAACCAAGCCGCTTACAACAAAAACGTAGCCATGGCATTCCATTCATAGTCACCTACAATCCACCTTCTCCATACCTTAACAAGATCATCACGAAATACAGTCGACTCCAGATAACTCGAACCCTCGCTAACTCGAAACTCGCGCTAACTCGAACCAAAATCGATTTCCCCTGCATCACTGTAATTTTGCCCTCGGTAACTCGAACCCTCGATAACTCGAACTCCCGCTCTGACTCGAACCAATTTTCGTTTCCCCTTAGTTCATTTTCCATTATAATTTTACCCTCGATAACTCGCACCATGTTTCGAGCCCTTAAAAAGTCGGGAGAAAAGCCGTATACTGGCGTCCGAAACCTTGAATTTTAGACGAGTGGTAGGAGTATAGTTTACTGGAAGCTGATGTTGATTGTCACCGGCTAACGTGCAGCAGCTTTTCTTCTCAAAACAGTAAAACGCATGCTCTATATAGGCTATCTTTTGTTACGTTACGTTCTGAGTTATAACCTAGAATTATCTTCTAATTTTCACTGGACATTTCTACAATTAAATGTGACTAAAATGTTCACTGTGCAGTAAAAACTGTTTTTTTTTTACCTTACTCTCGGCTATTTTCTTCGAACTCCCGATAACTTGAACCTTTTTTGATTTCCCTTAAAGGTTCGAGTTATCGGGAGTCGACTGTACCTGCCCATACTTAAATCTTCAAACAGATACAAAGAAGCTTTTCTACAGCGATTTTTCAAACCTCCCGATAATACGAACCAAATTTGTTTAAGGCGCTTCGAAAAATCGGGATTCGACTGGATATCAATCACAGAGATTGCTCAATTTGTGATTATAATAACCAATGGAATTGTATTTGCGATTTTCTAATTAATGACTGAGTAATGTTTATATTCAGTTTCTTTCAGTCGTGGTGCCCATGCATTTATCGGCCACGCGGCAACCCGCGCGGCCGTTTCGCTTGATTTAATCGGTCGTTTTCGTAGTTTCAAACGTTAGAAGCAGAACGCCCTTTCTTTGCGCTTTTAACAACAATTGTTATAATAATAATTTAACTTACCTGTTCTTTCTCGGCTTTCATTGAACGAATCCATGAGAACGGGGAAAAATACTCCGAGAGAGAACGTTAATCCGTCGACAAAAATCATGCAAATTGTGTAGCAAAAGCAAATAAACCACGACCAGACACTGTCCTGTTTGTAAGAAGATACTTTCCGGAAAAAAAGATCCATTCTTATGGAAAATATAGTTCCAAAACAGAGTCATCGTTTTCATCTGTAAATGTTTAGTGTGTGTCACGGCTCAGGCACTGAATAATTTGCATATGTCGATTGTGTCACGCAAGGTGTATCTTTGTCGCAGAAATGGCACAGATGCACAGGTATCCCAAGCGAAATATGAGAGCTTGTATATCAGGGTCCCGAAAGGGGGTTGGGCGGAGCCCGGTAGCCCTAAATTTTTTTTCCGTGGAGCCCGGAGCCCCATCGTTTCGTTGCTTAGAGTCCTAATATTATTTTACTGTAGAGCCTGGAGCCCTCAAAACGTTTGCTGCGGAGCCTATAGCCCCAAGTATTAAAATTCGGACATTCTTGCACACAGATAGCGTCATAACGTGTTTGTTTTTTGTTTGCTGGGAAACGGAACGAAGATAGTAAAAAACCATCCGAACATGCGAACACTCTACCATTTGGAAACTGCGGCTCCTTCTTCCCGGCTTCTTGCAGCGGTGTATGCTGATTTCAACGGTAAATTGTTGTATGCCAAATTTTTTGGCGACGTCGGGTAGGCCGTGGTTTACGGTCAAGTAATTTTTGAATTCGAAAATCGATCTTCCAGTGCGATCGCCTTCCAACATCCATTGATTATGATTGATAAATAACTCTAGATAACTGTGAAACACGAGTAGAGTGGAGAAAAACTTATAAAAACAGCGTTTAAAAAATAGAAATTGCTGTATTTTCTGAATTCTAGGACTTACTTTTGGATTGAAGCAAAAAAGCATAGGAGAGCCTGGAGCCCTTGATCGATTTCTCCGGAGACCTGGAGCCCTATCCCCAGTACTTTGGTCCGGAGCCCCGGCACCCCGTTGAGTCCGGAGCCCCGAAGCCCTAAACTCTTTGGGACCCTGTTGTATGGGAAATACACTGTTTGTGTGGCAAAATATCAGTGACAAGTAAATGAACTTAAACGGGAAAAAGTTTTCAATAAAGTGTAAATATTGTTTTCTGGAGCGCTTGCTTTTTGTATGGAAAACCCGGCCCGGTATAAATTCTAGTGAGAATTCAAATGGAACAGTTCATTCTGGTGAATATTTTTCAGAAAAAAGGTACTTGCGAGGTATTACCTTTTCCTCGCTTTGACAGAAACGACAATTTGTGTGGACAACCAATTCCAAGCTTCCTTTGGAGAGAAAGCGAAAATTTTACCGGTATTTTGTAAATGGCAAGACTCAATCCCTTCCCTGTTTTCGGTGAGAAACAAAAACTTCCAGTACCATTTGTTAGAAAATTTTCACCGAAATTTCCGTAAAAATGGTAGGAATTATCACCGCGATTTGAGCACTATATGTCACTATATATCGAAATATAGCATCATCTGACCTGACTGTGTATTAAAAAAAAGACACCCTAAGGTCAGATGATGTTATAGCTCTCAAATCCACAGGGTCCAGAGGAGATGTGTTTGTCGTTAGAACATCAAAACTCGTCGAAAACCTCTGAAAAAGGGGTTATTTTGACCGCGTTACAGTTTCGTTACACATTCTATAGACCGCAAACCAAGAGACTAAGGGCTCGCAAGATCGGCTTACACTGCTACAGCGAGGATATGGCTTGCGGTTATTTATTTTCAAAAGTCGATCTGGGTCAGATAAGAAGCGAAGAAATCGTTTACGTTAGATTTCTATAAAGATCCCATTGGGCTAATTAATCGTGCTAAGCGACATGTATAGACATTTTTCAAGGTGAGACTTTACATAAGTAATTCATTTATTCACACGAAACTCCTCTGGACCCTGTGTCAAATCGTGAAAAATAAAAATGTCATTTTAGCCGGGTAAAATAAGAGGGAACATTCAGTGGCCTACGTAATTAACCTAACAATAGACCATATTAAAAACGTCATCTTATTCTATTGTTTCTTTAGTAAGTTACTCATTCTACATTTAAATTTCTGTTGTTATTTTACGGTTACTTAGCTTCTGAAGATGTTTTAAGGACTTATGAAATTCAAGGCCAAACATGATTACATTCAGGACTTAAATACATTTTGGGGTCAGTGCATTCAGGCCTTCTACAACACTCTGGCGTTAGAAAGGGAAGGAAACATATACCTTTACCAGTGTACCAGGGTGATATTTAGCCAGAAAGACGATTGCAAAGGGGCTCTTTTTCAGCAATTCAATAAATTTCTATAAAATAATAAATAGAATAACTACGTTTATACAAATTGAACTTTCTAATTAAATAGATGATTCTTTGTCGGCGATTTAAATATTAAGTTCCAAGAATAATGGAACTATTTCTGGCATGTTGTACATCATCGTCTCCGCTTCGCTGCAGCAACTGTAAATTTCTACCATCTACATCACCACACTCTCGTAGGCCCTCTACCTCTTCGATATCATCAACAATGTTTCCCTCTATTCCTTGATTTACACGAACCAAAAGAAATGGAACGAGTGACGCAACGATTCCCGCTCCACCAGCAAAGAGAAATGCGGCAATGTAGTTACCAGATTTGTCAGCTATGAAACCTGATGAAATAAAATCATGACGTCATTGGATGAGCGTCTATAATAAAATCTTGGTTTTCGGCGACCGAGTCGGATTCATAAGGATGAGTGATAATTAAGCCAGAGTCGTAAATGGAACCGGAGTCGCAAGAATCAGAACTGTTTCATTTTGTAGCCGACTCCGTTAATGATCTCTTACGATCTAGTGAAAAAAAGGCGCAAGCAGAAACAGTAGAGGGACTAGCCTGAGAAAACGCGGCGCGACGCCACCACTGGTTGTCTTATACGAACGGCCGCAGAAATTCTGTACTAATGATGTGTCACTGCCCAGATCTGGCTTATGCTTCTGATTGGCTGTGCCGAGATGGAAATTTGCTTCAACCAATCGGAAGAACTACCCAGGTATACCCAGGTGTGGGTAGTGACACGTAATTAGCATGGAAATTTACGGTCGTTCCTCAAACGTTATTTCATGGTGTCGTCACGAAACGTCGGCTGTTTTCTCAGGCTACAGTAGGACAAATCAATCACTACATGTTTGTTCTTACTTGCTGCGATTGGTTACTCCTCCGCATCTAAACAATCCAACAGTCTAGCTAGTTTCACGACATGATAAGCGATGGAAACTTAAGATAAGTAGCGCCGGATATCTCAAATTGTTTTTTTTTCTACTCTTATCGAGTTAGAAATGATTTTCTTGACTGTATACCTCAATTCACTATAAATAAATGAAACCCAAATAAACTTCCGAAACTGCTTACACCTTTAATTACCTAGTAAGATAAGATAATTACGCTGATACTTAGTTGGTAACGAAACTGACAACTTATATAATCTAGCCTGCAAGTTTTTTAAGCGTTCACTTTGGAAAGTGCCGGCAGATCAAATGGATTCAAGAAAGGATACAATGATAAACACACACCCGTTAAAGGAGGCGCCCCTAAAGCAACCACTCCAGCTGATATCATAGAAAAACCAACCGCGGAAGCTTGTTTAGAATCCTCCACTGAATTCATGCATTCCACAAGAAACGTTACTATCATCATTCCATCCGACGCACTGAACACAATGGCAAACGCTATTAATGTACCATATGTCTTTGCCAGTGACAGCAACATCACAGAGGTTCCCATGATTAAAAGGGATGCCTGTAATAATATTCTTGCCTGGAAGAGCTTCAGATTACAAAGAAACCCTCCTCCGAGACGACCTAACGTCGCAAAAACACCAATAAACATCAAGAGAGTGGCGCTTTTATCAGCAGGAATCCCCACGTCATTAGCGTACTTTATCTAAGATCATAGAAAATAATAACTTTAACGCACTGTAAATCACGTTGTCACACCTAATTCAGCATTACAGGCAAGTTAAAAATCCAAATTAAAAGAAATAACTTTAAGGAAGAAATAAGAACAGTATATAATGGGCCAGTATAATTCGACCACAAGTTGGGAGTTGGCTTTAAAACCTCGGCTTACTTACTGTAAATCCTCTTTTAAGTTCCCCCCTCTCAAATAAGCCCCCCCCCCCTTTCAGGGTAAGAAAGGTAATAAGCGCTCCCCTTCCCCGCGCTCCCCTAATTATTCTTCACTAATAAATGATCATGATAGACTTTATGAATCAATCAAGACTGAAAAACTTCGTGTGGATTGATCCGATCCGGGATGGTTTATTCACCAACTGGAAGTTCTGATCCTCGGTTGAATGACCTTCAACCTTCTTGTACTTCAGCTTTTCCACTTTGTATTCTAGTTCTTTACGGAGAACTGATAACATCGTCTTTTCTAAATTAAATTAGCCCCACTTCTTAAATAAACTTCTCGTTTCTTTTAAGCTCCCCCTGAAATGAGCTTCAAATAAATAAGCCCCCCAGGGGGGCTTAATGGAGGATTTACGGTACTTCAACTCCCTTCACTTATATATCTTTTAGTTTCTATTGTCTATATGCCTGACTAAAGAAATGTAAATACTCATTGTTTTCATTCTGTTTCTTCCATTGAAAAGTGGAATAAATCTGACTTGACTTGACTTGACTTGATGGGAAGAATGCTCATGAGCCAAATGCCAAGCCTTTCAAAGTGGTAAGGCTACTCCCTTCCCTTTCTCCCCCACCTCCTCAAAAAAATTACTATGTTCTTTCCTCATCGAAAACCTGCTTGAAGGTACAGACGCAATTTATTTAACCCCGAAACCGAGAGGCAAAAGCTGAATACCTAAAAACTGTTTGAATGCAGAGGTCCACGCAACGCGTAAATACAACTGACTGGTTCTTCTTGCCAGATCTCTAATCAAAGAGATGCTGTAGCCAGATGTCACTTAAAGTGTGAAATAAAACAAACTCAATGCGGGGCTGGTACTACGGCAAAGGGCTGATTTATTATAGTATAATTTATAATTTATTATGGGCCTATAATAAATCAGCCCTTTAATTTGCCATAGTGCCAGCCCTGCATTGAGTTTTGTTTTATTGAATATCTAAGCTGCTAGGAAAAAGGTGCTCAAAATTAGACCAGATGGTGGGCATGAATTAGAAGAAGAGAGAAACGTAACCTAAATTGTCACATGACATCTAACAATCAAACTTTTTCCCGCCAAAATCTCTGAGCGGGCAACATTGCAAAATCTATGACGTGAGAGGGTAACAGTGCACTGCTACCCGCGAATGCTCACCGAAGACTACCGTTACAGCTAAGTTTAATGAATTTCCAGCTTCAAAATATCCAGCTATATATGACAAATCACTTTTAAAAGATTGGTCCCGAGGGAAACAGTTAATTTTGTTTCCCTCGAAAAAATAATTAAATAAATAACTGTTTCCCTCAGGACCAGTGATTAAGTGTTTGATATTGACCAAACCAATTTTGTATTTAGCTTCTCATCACTTATTCTCGGGTGTCCCCTTCTCCATATTTTTGTTTACGTTCCCTCCTTTTCTAATATCCTCTTCTAGCCTTTTCCACCCACTCCCTTTTCTTTCACAGAATACATGGCGCATGACACAATTAAGCTTACCAGATGAACGTACGGCGTGAGACGACAGAGGACATAGCTACAGCGCGTTAATATCAGGATAAGTAGGACCGGATTCCTCAAGAGTCCAAAATGTAATTGCAAACCCTTGGGTGCGACTTCTGTTGGTTCATTTGGAGGACTAATCCCTTTATGAAGCAACCATCCTGTTAGTGAGGCAATAGCCAGAAGCCCTGCAAATCCTCGAAACGTGTTTCTCCAATCACAAGCGTCCACTAGGGCTTGCAAAGTGGGACTAAGAATCATTGTCCCAATGCCTTGACCTGCCATTAAGAAACCGAGGGCAATGGATCTTCTCTTTATGAAGTAACGAGTCGCAACAACAGGAAAAGTAATGTAAATAAGCCCCAAGCCAAGTCCAAAAGGTAAACTGAAGGCAATGAATAGGGTCACAATGGTGGGAACAAAAGAGCCCATAGCAAGAGCAGATGAGCATAACAGGCATCCTAATATAGTGGAAGTGCGAATCCCAAACCTGTTGAGGAGACCGCCGGAAGTAAGACTTGTGAAGCACATTACGCTGATAATAATAGATGTTGTCCATGCTGAAACAACAAAAAAAAGAACCCAGTTATATAATTTGGACGGCAGACCAGTGGGGGATCCAGGGGAGGGGCCCGGGGGGGGCCGTCCCCCCCCCGTCATTTTTAGACCAAACTGAGGCCCGAAGTGCCGAAAAAAGCTCTTCTGGAGTCCGCCCGACCCCCTTCCCCTTCTTATCTAAGAGTCTGGATAACGGGGCCCCATCCTTTATCTCAAGGTCTGAATCCGGCACTGCAGACGGCATGGCCTTTGGAGTCTGCGACAAAAACATCAACAACAACGGCAATAGGCATTGATGAGAACAATCCAGCGCACACCACAAAAAAATCCCGGAAGCTTTGCCATATGTAGAGGGAAATATTCTTGACTCTCACCCACGCTCTTATTTTTTTTGTATATCTGTCTACTAGAGGGTGAGCAATACAGCGTTGCAAAATTGTTGCGACATTGATTCATATAGTTGCAACATTGTTCCAACATTGCAATGCTGTGTTGCGCAAAAAATCGCCGTTGCAAATCGTCCCGTGTAACATTAGCCTACCACGCAGACGTTCTTAAGAGTTCGTCACGCGTTCCCGCCCCACGGTCAGTGTAACATCACCTTTATTTTCAAACGACTTTATCAAAAATTTTCAGCCCGTTTTCCGCAGATGTCATCTTCCACGTAAGTTGTAGCTACCCATCATCATCATGCATCATCTTTGCCGTCATCATCGTCATCATCATCATCATCATCATCATCATTATCATCATCATCATTATCATTATTATTTCATTATCATTTTTACAACGAAACCTGGTCTTGAGTGCAGGCTTGCAAGAATAAAAATTTCAGTATTGAGTTCATGATTGGTTTCAATTTCTCTTTCGTCAGTAAAAGAATTAAAAATTCAAAAAAGTCCTTGATTCAAAAATCGAGTTGTGATTGAGTTAGTGAGAAGATACTAAATGGAACTTACCAGCTAAAGCATATCCCGTTTCTGTTGTTCAGCTACGTGCAAACGGACGCAACATTGTTGGCCAACAACTCCCAACATTGTTTCTTGTTGCATGTTGTTGGATGTAGTAGCGTAAAGTTTGAAACCGGTCAAACTTTTAGCCCCGTACAAACGGACGCAACATTCGGTAGGCCAACAACTGCCAACAAGGTTGGGAGATGTTGCGTCCGTTTGCACGTAGCATGGTAATCGTTTTTTCTTTCTTCTTTGATTTGAATTTTTATTTGAGGAATTAAATTTCTTGTGTTTAAATTTCGCAAGGAGTTTTATTCGCGGGGTCTTTTTAATTTATAATTTTGCGATTACTTTACAATCGGGAAAAACGCGAAACTAACTGAAGTACCAATAACGTACATCCTGAATTCCTGTGAGATTTTCATTAAATCTTCGGGCATATATCTAGTGAAAAACATAAGTTTTTTTCTAGAATGATGAAGTTGGTTATTTGACTTTCAAATGATTTCATTCAAATCAGCATTGTGAACAGCTAGTCACACTTCACAGGGTTGTAAACGGGTCACGACACGGAGAAACTTTCTAAATTCTTTAAACACTCTTCCTAGCTGAATTTCTTTTCCCACTTCATAGTTTATTTGACTGCTGTTTCCCGCTTCGGAGGTCGATGCCTTATTTATAGTCCAATCGAAGACCGTTTTGAATTTTCAATCCTTCAACTGAAGACGTGAAATGAAAATAATGATCATTATCATTCTTCCTGCTAGAATTTCACGGCATGTAATTTCCATGGGACAACGTCAAACATTATTTGCTTTTCAATGAACTCCCTCATTATATTTTTACGACTGGAAACAATAGTACCATAATTTATGAACAAGGGCAAGTTTCGTTAAGACCGGGTGTCTTGAAAACAAAGATCCCTAAGACCTCCTTCCAAATGACTCTGAACTTTATTGATTAGAGTTAGGAAACTGAGTGAATCAGGTTCTATTTGTTTCATTATAATGGGCAAACTGAATGAAGTTAGTCTGCTACACAGCCGTTTTCAGTGTCGTCACGCAACGCTCCTCCCCACACTAACGACACTAAAAACAGCTGTGTAGCAGACTAAAATGAAGGTTGATCTCCTAACCCTTCATTTGGTATGGGGTCTTTAAAGGGGTCTTCGTTTTCCAGACACCTCTTAAGACCTGGAAGGGTAAATTTCCTTACGCACAGCCCTAAGTGATAATTGAATGGGCAATATCACATGCCCTTCACTCATGGGAATCACACTGACTAAACATAAAAGAGATATATTTTTAAATAATAAATTGTTGTTGTTGTAGGAAGAACTAACAAGGGAGAAATTTCCCTGACATATTTCACATCACTCCATTGTGTTTCGGCCGGCCAAATCCTGATTGTTATGATAGCTGACCTACCTGTTCTTTCTCGGTCTTCATGAAAAGAATCCATGAGAACGGGGAAAAGTACGCCGAGAGAAAACGTTAACCCAACTGTAAGGATAACGCAAATTGTGTAACAAACGCATATAAACCACGACCAGAGGCTGTCTTGTTTATAAGAGGATACGTTACGGATAAAGAGAGCCATGCAGGTTGAGAATGTTGTCATATCCAAACCATTTTTTAAAACGTAATTGTATACGAGTGCATCCCGTCACGACTTATATAACAACTCGTGGTCATTATGCATTGTATGGACTATGTCACGCAAGACTACTTGGTGTCCGCGCCTATGACGTGAGCAGAGAAGAGCACCTGGCATGCAATATAAACGTGCTGAACCGAAGACAATGACAAATTCTGAAAACCTAAATCGGCGAGATAGCAACATACACGGTGTCACAGTGTGACACTGTATAATTCCAGGCAAATAAGTCTCACCGGAAGCTAGTTTGTACGAAGAATCAGAAATGTCAGTTAACTCATTTACTGTCGACAACAACTTTTAAGAAAAAAAAAACCTTAATTACGTAATTAGCTTTAGGGGATCGTTTGTTGGGTCAGACGACGAACTTAGGGACCGATCATTCCTAGGTTTGAGATAGGGGAAGGGGGTCAGAAAAGTGTGGTGTATCCAAAATAATAATAATAATAATAATAATAATAATAATAATAATTTTTTTATTAACTTTTTGATGCTTTTTATAATTGTTATTAGTAGTCTTTAGATAGTCATTTTACCACAATTCTCTTTCGTACACAAGAAGAATGTACATAGGGTATATATTTTAATATTTCATATTCTTGAATCTGTAAATAGTCTATTTTTTTTAAATCTATGAATAAAGTTTTGTATAATAATAATAATAATAATAATAATAATAATAATAATAATAATTACATGCGAAAATTGTACCCCCCAGCAATAACAATTTTTTGTGTGTTTCCTTCCCCTCCTCCAACCCCTTCTACACCAATTCAAGTCCGTTTTTCTCTTCTTCCATCTCAATCATTTCATAACCTGTAAGATACCGGTAGTCAGCAGCGTAGCGTGAGATTTTGAAGGTGCACGCAGGGGAAGAAAAGTTAGCGCGCCTAAGGCGGAGTCTGGTGGCATGCTCCCCCAGCCATTTCTTGCATTTTCTGCAGGACAATTTCAGTAAATGAAAACGAAGGAAAATGCAGTACTTAGTTGTTTATTTTACCCATCTCTAGTGTTATCGCTATCAAAGGTACATCAAGGAGGTACGTTCAAGCAAAGGACGAGGCGTGTACGAGGGTCTGAATGGAGCTGAATGTGGTTAAGTGACTTGTGACAAACGGCGAAAAATATAACTGACTACCGACAAAACGAGAAAAAAATACCGACAACCTACATGGTCCAACATTGTAGGGATATTCAGGAGCATAGCCAGGAGTTTTTCAGAGGTACGTACAATTTTCCAAACCTACATAACCACTCCCCCCTCCCCCTCCACCTAAAAGTCACAAATCTGTGCCCTGATTAAAAGTGAGGTTATCTTGTAAGCCTGTGCGTTTTGACTGTATTATCTAAAAAGACTCACGTAAGTTAAATATAAGATCCTTTGTCGCCTGTCAGTCGCTTATAATGGATTAAGCCAACAAGCTAGTAGTATCTCAAATGAGTAATTTTTTACCTCTGTATAGTCCATTGTTCTAGAAATAAATTATTTCAACAAAAAGAAAGAAAAAGAGAGAGAGAAAAAGGAAAGAAACAGAATCTTTTTTGAAATCCCTTTGCTTTTTCTATTGTTCGCTTTTTCATTTCCTTCATTTTTAACTCGGAAAAAAAACCGGCTTCGCCAGTTTTGCAGAAATTATCGTTATGTATAAGAGAAGAAACTTCTCTGGGGGCAGGGAAAATTTCAGGGAAGTTGGGTTGGGGCTGTGGTGCTGAAACCCTTCGATTCTGACCCCCAGCTGTTTAAGGCAAAATGCATTAAAAATTGCAACCCTGTTTAAGACGCTAAATAGTGAAACTGAATGCTTTTTTAGGATTGAAGATTCTAAAAACCTATACCAGGAGCCCATATGGGCTCCTGCCTATACCATGCTGATACCGAGTCATCCTCGGAGACCCATGGCCAGGGGCAGCTAGTCGGGTCGTAGCCTGAGTATCAGGCGTTTCTGGGGAAAACGGGAAAGATGGAAGCGAAAAAGGGAGAGAGCTGATCTAAAATCTCTTCTCCCCTAGTCCCTTAGGAAGGCCTGATACTCAGGCTAGTCGGGTCGATAAAATGTTCGTGGTGAAAGTTTACTGTAATCTTACAGTAAACCTTCACCAGGAACATTTTATCGACCCGACTAACATGGAAGTTTGTAAATCGTTTAAAGTCTTCATGCTTAAGATCAATTTCACTATAATATCGTTCTAAGAGAGAATGAGCTAGCTCATTCTTTCTTGATCGTTCATAAGCAATACTACAGTGTAAAATTGATTCTCACTGATTTTAATAGTGCGTAATTAAACATTCCTTTTGTACGTTACCAAGCACAAATTTTAAGACAGGTAATACAACTATAAATCAGATAAATGTATTCTGAATATTTTTTTTTTCTGTCATTTTTTCAGTTTGAGCGCCTCATTTAAGCGATGTTGTTAATTAAGGAGAAGAGACCATCCTTAAACACTCAAACCGACTCCATTTATGTTTTAATAGCGTTGTTTTTTATCCGTTTTTTTTTTTTCGTTTTCTCTTTTTATTCAACAGGCACAGGAGCCTATGACTGTCAGTGATATTTAGAACTGAAAGCTGATCATGAGAAATACTTATTCCATTTTTCTTCTTTACGGTTTTTTTGGTTACGTCTATGCCATTCCTTTTGACGAAATAATTTTATTTCTGAAAAATCTATTGTATTTTCATGTAATTCCTGACAATTCACACGATATTTTCAGATCATGACACTAGTCGTTCTGTTGTTTTCTAAGAAATAATTTTTGGACGTCATAGATCACGTTTCATCTTTTACATGTTATAGATCAGAGATCATGCCTGATAGGAGCCTACTCGGGAAAGGGTTGACTCCAAGGGCTTGTATGGGAGATAGAGGCTCCAGGTCACAGGCTCCTGACCCAGTACCCAGGGGTTTTCTCCGGATTTTAAGTGACGGGGATGATGGATGGATTTTTTTGGTTTTAAAATATTCTATTCCTGGATTTATTTTGGGTAAGGAAATGTGGCAAGTATTTTTTGGGTGGCTTAGGCCCAGTCCACACATATATGCCGTCTTTGACTGAAAACGAAGATTTTTTTTGGCTCACCGTTCTCACGTATCCGTTTAAAATGGTCACCGAAAACGCATCTCTTCAAATATTATCCGGAGTGGAGACTTTTTAAAAAGCTGGCCTTTCAGGTTTACGTGTGGACAGACGAAAACGGAGGTTTTCGAATACGATGATGTCATGCATCATATACTACTGACTAGCATAAGGCTCAGAAATTCGGAACTGATGGGATTTTTTCGGGGGTTAAAATTTGGTCCAGCCACAGGGTCCAGAGGAGATGTGTTTGTCGTTAGAACATCAAAACCCGTCGAAAACCTCTGAAAAAACGGGTTATTTTGATCGCGTTACGGTTTTTCGTTACACATTCTATAGACCGCAAACCAAGAGACTGAGGGCTCGCAAGATCGGCTTACAGTATAAAATCCCTTCTTTTACTCGGCACTTCGTGCCTCGGTCGCCCTTCGGGCGACGTGCCGTGCGCCAGCGAGGAAATGGCTTGCGGTTATTGATTTTCAAAAGTCGATCTGGGTCAGATAATAAGCGAAGAAATCGTTTACAGTAGATTTATAAAGATCCCATTGGGCTAATCAATCGTGCTAAGCGACAGGTATAGACATTTTTCAAGGTAAGTAATTCATTTATTCACACGAAACTCCTCTGGACCCTGTGGTCCAGCAAGGTTTTTGGGTCTTGTTGGAAGCTCTAGGGATTTTTTTGGTTTTGATTTTTGCCGCCATTCGATCATCCCTGTCACTTGAAATTTGGAGTAGCCCATTGGGGTCATCATCGGTGATCTTATTCTTTTCCGCAGCGGGATTAACCCCGGGGGGGGGGGCACTTGGATATTTTTTGGGTAGGTATGTGCCAATCGGGACTCCAAATTGGCACCCCGTTCTAAAAAAAAATTTCTCCTAAAATCGATGCCCCGTTCCAGAATTCGCGCTAAAACTGATACCCCTTTCTAGAAATGGGCCAATTTCTTATACCCCGTTCTAGGGTGCAAAGAGTACGTACAACAGTTTGCTTGTTAACGCATTGAACCGTATTTTTAAAAGCAATCTGTCCTTGAATAATTTCAAATGGCTGCTTTCAAAACTGGAGCTTTCGTGTGTTCGAAATATTATGCCCCGTTGTAGAAAACGCCTCTGAAATGGATACCCCGTTCTAAATCAGGAGCTTCAAAATCACGACCCCGTTGGGCGGCACATACCCGTATAGGTAATGTATGGGAGTACCCCCCCCCCCCCGGGGGATTAGCCCAGTCGGTAGAGAGCTTTACTGCAAAGCGGGATGTCGAGGGTTCGATTCCCGGGACCGGAGAAATATTCATGGTCTTAAAATGACTGAAAAATGAAGTTACATACACTGCCTTTGCCTTACAAATGGCTAGACTACGCGTGGCTCGGATAGCCACGTAAAATGGCGGTCCTGTGTCCAGTACCTACATTGACACTCAAATAAAGTGCATTTTTTTATGAGCGACCGACGTTTTAACAACTAACATGTAGCCGTTATCAGAGTCGCAGATTCTTATCCCGACCGATAATTCTGTATTTTGCTTATAAATTGTATTAACCTTGAATCATGAATTACTGAGACTGTTCACATTCCCCTATTTTTTTTTAGGAATGGCTCCCAGGTCGGAGCCATTCCTGTATTTAGTCGCTCGTCTTACCGTTAATGACGGCCATCTTGATTTTCAAATGTAGCGAGGATTGTAGCTGTAGGAGGAGGGAGACGAGAAAAATATTTTTCTCGCTCCCAAACCGCCCCCGCCTCCTAAGTAGCTTTAAGCGCTCGACCTCGACGATCTTACGGAAAAATAGATAATGTCCTCAATAGTCCCCAGTCAACATTCCCCGCTTCCCTAGCCTGTGAACAGGCCTTTAGTCGAGAAGCAAAATACTCCATCTAGCATCAAACACGTTAACTTTCACGAGCCAAAAAGAAACCGGCAGGCTTCACTCCTGAAGTGAAAATAACAAAGGAACACAGCTACAAGGTAGTTTTTGATGTCCAGCCCCTCCCTAGGGCTTGAATTCCCATCCAGATGTACCGTAAAACTGTGAATCCCCCTCCCCCCGCGCTTCCTCCCCAAGATTTGTCACGCAGTAAATGTTTGACACTCGTTTCCTGTTGATTTCATAATCTGACTGTCGCGTCGAGAGTCTGTCTGTGTTTTTCGTACACGTATTCCTAGTTTAAAAAAGCATTTGCCGTGAAGCTTGGGCTGACGAAGTCATATAATGGTTACTTTTTGTGGCAGGAAAGAGCCACGCAAACAAGACAGTAAATGGTCTGTTTTGGTTTGTATCTGTGCCACTATCTCTCAAGCCTTGTTGATGGGCATCGCGCAAGATTTCGGTGTCTTTTTGCCGGTGATTATGAATGAGTTCTACTCTAGCAGAGAACACACAGGTATTGGACTTGCTTTCATTTATTCCGATTGAAGAGGACACCACGTAGTATATGTTTATGTCTTTGTCAATTTAAATGAATTTGATGGTGATTTATAAATTTTAAAGATTACTACATTATCTGATCTACGTTGCAATCGCCTTACCGTTCGGTTGGTAACGCAGGCTTTCCAGTCACAGATCCGATATGCGGTATATTTTAGTATGGTTTTGTCCATGTTTTTAAACAATAAGGCTGGTTATGAGCACCCTATATTTTCTTTCGATTTTTCTTTATGAGGCATCAATGCAAAGTCAAAAACTTGCCTTGCTGCCATTAGCATGACTTGATATGGCGTGATTCGGCGGATGTGCGTCCTATGTTTCAAAGGGCTCTTTTAAGAAAAAAACTTACGGAAAGGCTTATTTCTTTAATTTTCAAAGTGACCAATCCGGCTGACCATCATTGATTTTTTTCTTTTCTACGTATACATAGCTTGGATAGGGTCTATAGGAATTGCCATGACCTTTTTCCTGTCTCCTCTAACTGGACGGCTGGGTGACCGCTATGGATCTCGTCCCATAAGTATCGTTGGTGGCTTGTTTTGTTCCTTGGGTCTCATCCTGACTTCGTTTGTGAGAAAACTCGACCTGTTTTTTCTGACATATAGCGTCTTGTTTGGTTTCGGCGTCAGCTGTTGCCGAACGAGTAACTTCTTGATTGTTACGAAATACTTCTGGAAGCGTAGATCTTTGGCAACAGGCATTGTGACAGCGGGGGCGGGTCTTGGTGTTTTTACCCTCGCCCCTTTATGTCACCTGCTGATTGCCAAACATGGACTGCAAGGTGCGTATAGAGTGCTGGGGCTTGTAACGCTTGCGAACTGCATTCTTCCACTTCCGTACGATCCCAACATAAAAGAAGATGAAGATCCTGGAAAGAAGAAAGAGACTTTTTACAACCAGGGAGATTATAATCCTGAAGAATGCACAGCAGAAGCCTCAAGTAAATGGAGGAAACTCATCGACTTTTCTGTCTGGAAAGTTCCACTCTTTACTGTTACGGCTGCATGCAGTACAGCAGTCGGCATTGTGACATATACAGGCCAATTTCATTTGGTGAGTAAGGGCCCCTACTTAATTCTTTGTAGCCTCCCTTGGTACATTAGAAGTAGTGGTAGAGGGATGAAATTAAGCCCCGTTTTGGCCTTCCCCTGCCTTCCGTATGCCTTCCCTTTATCAATATGCATAAGTGTCTTCCTGCATACTAATTTAGTGCCTTCCGAGTTCCCTTGATTTTTATGCATAAGATAAGGGCAAGGGTCATAAGGGTCGAGTCCATGAGGTCACCCATTGTTACAACGTAGGGAAAAAGTGCTTTCCTCCATACTAATAAGACAGCTTCCAAAAAACAACAATTAATATTAAGTAATACAGATTGAAGTTAACATTTTCTTTTAACAATTGAACTAAATTTCCATTTAGAGACGGACAATTAGAAAACTTTTCCGGGGGGGCAAAGTACGAAAGACTATATTCACTAGTGCAAATGAGAACTAGGTGAAAAAAAAAAATGATGCACGGCAAGCAACCCGAAGAAAGATATTCATTCAATGACCTAAAAAAAAATTCATATAAGAGAAATGTCGAGGAAAAGAAAATTCATGCGGCTGGAAAATTCCCCACCCCTCATAACTTTATTAATGCTAGTCAAAAGCTCTAAAATTCTACCGTCAACCTGTCAAAATTTGCAAAATTTAACCGTCAACCGTCAAAGAGACCCTCATTTTCGTGGATACCCTTATTCCGAGGTAAATGGTCAATATTCGCCTCATCTTGCGTTGTGTGTACAATTCAGCTTTGTTGGTGCTGAGGTAAAGTGGAAAAAAGTCTCTTTGGTTCTCTCCAAAATACTATTGCAGGTGTAACAATTTTTATGAAAACGGAAACATTTATGTTGTATTTGTTTTTTCCCGTTGTGTTGTAATCAGGTTTTGCTTTTCATTATTACTTTTTAGGTTCGACATTGTGAAGACTTGAATATATCCGCTGATAAATCTTCTAAGCTCTTAATGATATTTGGTGTTGTCTCTTGCGTGACGCGAGTAGTTGCTGGAAGATTGTGTGACATTAGAGGAGTCAAAGCTATTTACGTTTACCAAATAGGAGTACTTGTCATTGGTCTTGCAGTTCTCATGCTCGGAGTTGCGTCTACGTTTGTCCACTTTGTCGTCATCACCGTGTTCTATGGAATCGGGGATGGAATAAGCTTGACAGTTGGTAATTTGTTGCTTCTTACAACTGTAGAACCTCAGAAAAGAGCCTCGGCGTTTGGGTTGGCCAACATTCTTATATCAATTTTCACAGCAACGGGTGCTCCATTAGCAGGTTGGTACAAGGCGCGGCTTATTATTAATCGTTCCTTTTGGCTTTGTTAAATCAAACCCATTTAATATTAATAATAATGCTAATAATGATAATAATTATTGACAAAGTATATAGTAATAATAATAATAATGATATTAATAATAATATTAATAATAATAATTTTTTTGATGGTATAATAATTTATTTAACTTTAAAAACATGTACATAATTTACAGATATATTTGAAGTATGAATTATGCACTATATAACATTAAGAATTATATAAATCATAAAAAATACAATCACTGTGTCAATAACGATTTCCCAAATACTTTCCTTGCGGCCCAGATGCGATCAATAACTCTTGCAGGCGTTCCAGAGTAACAATTATTAATAATAATAGAGTTTTAAATTATTAAAAGAGTTTTAAATTAAAAATAATAATAATAATTTCGTTATCCTCTCCCCTTGTGGAGAAATAATTCAAATGAAACATGACGAGGTTAAGAATCCCAATGGTAGGACGCAAACCTGTTTCCTATTTACAGGACAGACGTAGCAAAGGATTTGAACTCGCGGCTACTAAGAACAAATCCAGTTAGCTGTCAGGGCGGGACTTTGAACTCGCGGCCTCCAAACTACAATTTTAGCGCCCCAACCATCCGACCAAGCTGTGCTCCTTTATTGTTTGAGTTCTCGATGGGATTTGAACCCATGACATATAACTGAACTCGGGTCTGAGGCGTCCTTTAGTCACTGACCAATGAATGAACTACTGAGACCAATTCATAGGTCCACATATGACGTACGTCATGTATGCAGCAACAACCTGCGACCAAGAACATGTTGAGAACCTGTTAGGCTAAAATTTGCCAGTTGGGCCCTTCTAATACAAGAACTTGTCTGGCCTTAAATTTGAAAGAGGTTCTTATTTTCTGAAATCTATAAAAGTTCAGGGTCCTCTTTAAAGACAAAAGTGCTTAATAGTACTTAGTACTCCAACTGCACTTGTAGTATGTCATGGTATGTGTAATCAAATGGTGACGAGTGAAATTATTCCCTAATTTCACGAGTACGCCATCTTGATTACCTGTTAATATCAGGGGTGACGAATTACCTTAGGAATCTTGGATTTCTGGTATGTTTATTATCCGGGATCGTCTCGATCGAGAACTTCACTCTCTTGAACGTCTGGAGCTTAAATTTGGCTTAAGTTGAGAATTTTTCGTCAAAATACCTGTTAGAATCCTTCTTGATGTGCTCTTTCGTGTGTTCCGGTTTTCTAAAAGCGTCTTTTTATGCCCTGGCATCTTCATTCATGACATTTTAAAACTTCGTCGCCATCTTGACACTGAGACGTACGGAAGGTTGCCATGGCAATTTTGTAATTTCACATGTGGAATTACAAATCATCGCTGAGATTTCGCGCCAAAATTAAGGAGTAGTTCGTCACCTACGACATTAATAGTATTACAACTCCCCAATTAAAACGGACACTGGAGATAGTCCCTGTAGTTCTTAAGTGATCTTCTTTGACTCTTCATAGGGCGGGCACCTCTTTACGAAGGACAATTAGTGCGTCCAGTATTTGCTCAAAAGTACTGATACGTTTCCGTACGAGAGGGTCCTTCCAGCAGTGGGAGTCAGTTGAAGATAATTGACTCAGCAACTGCAGGGACTGACCCTCGATATCCGTATTGCACTCTTGACTCAATGAAAAACTTTTCTTTGCAGGATTTATAGCGGACCAAGCCGGTTCCTATGTTATAGCATTCTATACCGCTGGATCATTGGGCATTCTGTTTGCATTTTTGCCTTTCATTTTACTCTGTGCAAAACAGGAAACCAGTAGAGAGGAAGTAGATTCATTAACAGTTAATACTTGACTTACAGCAATGATTCTCCCTTGGACTTTTCCCTAAGCTCAGCAAAGATGAATTTCCCCCCCCCCCTTCCCCCACCTTCCCTGGAGATCAGTACTTCAGTACTATTCCAGTCTTCCTCCGCCCCGGTTACTTCCATCGTCGCCGCTTTTTCATGTGGGTTTCTCTTTTAGGAAGGATTGACAAACAAATAAGAACACTTCGTGTCAGAGGAACGCCCGGTTTGTATATCATGTTATTTTGTATATTCACAAAAATATAATACCTTCTGGCGCACTTTGTATGTTGGTATCACCTTCAAAATTTACCAGTCGCCCCAAATGAGAAGCCATAGTTCGCCAGAATAGCGCAACGTTGGAGGGGTTTGACAGGAACAGCGGCTTAAGGTGGCCTGAATCTATGTGGGTGTTGGTTATCGCGTTTTTCAGCTGGGATGATTTAATCGATTTCTATGATTTTCGGTGTCGTTAATAAAGAATGGTGGAAATTTTAAGAAAATGTTATTTATTTTCTTGTAGGTATAAAAACGTTTGAGATATTGGCATATATTTTTAAATAAATGTATTATAAATCCTCCGACAGCTTTCTTTTCAACTTCAGCAAATAGGTCTCAGAGTTCTCTACTTTTATATCAGCAAGTTTGAAGTCAATCATGAGCATACAACTCGCTGCACAATATGCTAGTCAAATTTTAAGCTTAGAATGCTACGCTAACGGATTTGTAAAAATAGTGCAAGAGTGTCGGGGGACTATCTCCTATCTGAAAGGGTATTTTTACTCAAAGCTAAGAAACTTTAGTAAACAGAAACCAAGGGCGAATACAGTTAGCACTACAAGAACTACTTTATGGTGACCGCTTTTGTGAAATTAAATAACTTCTATTCATCAAACTGACTTTGTATTTGTACTTTCGAAACAAATCTTAACAAAGCGAAACATTAATAGCATCTACGGAAATTTCCTTCCAGTTTCTAGCAACGAAGGTTCCCATTTTGAGAAGAAATAAAGCCACTAACTTCAGCACCTCTAACCATCCACTTTTCAGCTGCAATGAAAACCCTTGTGCTTGTTGATTTATTCCAGGTTTTTCGACTTGTCATCACATTCGCACAGGATATTTGCCACTTGGGCATAGAGATAAAGAAAAAGATGACAACCCTCTTCTTCTTCTCATTACCCCCACCTGCAAACTGCCCTTGCGAATGGTCAAAGCCAACGCTTTTGAAAAATCAATGAATGAATGAATAAATAAATAAATAAATAAAACTATTAAAAATATTTCTACATTTTTGTTTTTCAGTAACCATATTAACGTATGCGAAACGGAGATGAAAAAAATTTACAGTTCCAAACAGATTTACAAAAACTGCGTTATGCTTTGGAGCTGATCCCATATCATCAAGCCCAAACGGCTTTTTGAAGCAGCCTCTATTCTGCTGACGTTTCTTTTAACAATCCCAACCTCATTTATTTACCCACTGAGCCCCATCAAATTTTACCGACCCGAAGTGTACAGAGAACTATAGAGCGTTTTCACATGACGTCACGGCGGCCATATAGGTGTTCCGAAACAATAAAACGGCGGCCATGTTGATGTTCCAAACCAATCCTGTGGGAGTTGATCTCTTTTCTTATGTAACACTTTCTTTTGTTCCCATAAATTTGCATAGATGCTATTCACGTGAATGAAAACGCTCTATTGGGAATAGGCTACTTGCACGATGACGTCATTTTACTACTACGACCAGAATCCTTTTCGTTTTTCTCTTCGTGTTTAAATTTCATCCCAGCGAGATTTAAATGACAAATCCGTAATTTGCACAAGAAAGGAAAACCCTGATGGATTCTGGTCGTAGTAGTAAATGATGTCATCTTGCAAATGGCCCATTCTAATTAAAAGTGGGCTGACATGGAAATGTTGTGTTCCTGTTGACACCCTTTCGCGCTGGGAAAATAGAACGTATCAGACAGTATAGTCAGGCGTGACGCAGTGGCATGACCATATAGGTGAGCGAGGGGGGTTAATTATAGCATGTGAAAATGCAGAATTCTTATAGAGCCCACTCCCCGATTGTGGCCCAGCGACAATGCAACATGTCACACTGTTCAATAATATATTTATGACTTTATCTTATCTAATAGGAAATTCAATGAAAAAAAAGCACGGTATGCTTAAGCAAGTAAACTCTCAAAATTCCAGTATGTTGCCCAGTATCCGGACACTTCAGTTTAACATTGCAATAACTTTCCTTTGTTACTCGCAAGAGCTCTGAAATTTGGCCCAGAGAAAATCTATTTAGTCCTTCATATGAGGAAAGACAGTTTAACTTTTTTGCCTTTGTTTCCATGGCGAAAATTAATATTTTTGTAGAGCTCCTAAGTTGCCCAGTATCCGGACACAAAGATAACAACGTAATTGTACATAAATTTCGACAGGCAAGCGACTTATAAGCTTATTTTGCACTTGCTAAGTAGTCTGGCAATCGATTCCAAAAATATAACCTAGCATCGTGAAATAAAACGTAACAAATGACTGAGGTATGGTGCGGGGAACGCGAGCTGCTGTTAAATGGTATAATTCTTACGTCCTTGTCCAGGAACTTTTTCACTGATTTAAGGATTCCGTGGACATGCCGAAGCCGCGGTTTGCAAGCTCAATTAGCCAATCTGCAAACGACTATTTTTCTTCATTTTTATTCAAAAAAAAAAAAAAAAGCTTGTGGAAGGGACCTCAATCTGACGGTCAAAGGTCACTCTCCCATTTAGTCTGACCTGCGGTGTTGATTTCTTCATGCTCAGCCTCACAATAAGCCTGCTTTTCTAGCACTAATTCCTCCTTCTTTCACATCTGTTAATCCCTTAGTGACATTTTTCAGACCATTGCAACCCCATTGTAGCAGTCACAACTGGGGAAAGTATCAGAATTCAGGGTCGTAACATGGTATATCCGGGGCCCACTGATCCCTATTTTCTTGCCGTTATTTTGATCCCTGAGCCCCATTTTCCCAAAAATTTTGATCCCTGAGCCCTGATAAAAGAATTGATCCCATCCATGTTTTTACACAAAATTTTAACTTAGCCCGCCGCCGCGCAACTTTGTTTATCTCCAAATATAGAATATAGAACATGCTCAAATAGGCTGATGAGAAAAACATTAACTTTAATTTTTAGTGCAAGTTGTGGGTTCTATCAGAGCTTTCTATTCTGCTATCCCTGTTGATGTTGTAGTCTTAGGTGAATTTCCTCTTTCACGCTGTGTGTGTTACAGTGAGGATCACGATCAATTACTAATAGCAAAATACCTTCTTTACATGAAGTAGAAAAATTAAATGATGCAAGCCACAGGTTCTACCGGTTCAACAGCATTTCTGTGTCAAGCCCATTAATGGCTTTTCCTGGCTTAATAACCATTGTAGATTGTCAGAGGACATATCTGGTTGTAGGTCTTCCAGACCTACTCCTTCCAGCTTCAAATCTAATTGGCTCTGAAAAGTTGTCCGCCTGAGCTTGCTCCCCGGTTCCTCTTCGTCACCACCTGACGCAGGTGAATCATCTGATTCAACTGACCCCTGGAGCAATGCAACTAGGCGTTGCTCTTCAAGGCAGCTCAAACAGAAGTTGTTTCCATCTTTTATTATTTGAACTTCCCTGATGATACACTTAGGAGAATTTCTATCGTCACGGTGCCCAGTCTGGTATACAAGGGGATCTTCTTCTGACTGTTCCAGCCATCTAAAACCCATGTGATCTTCCAGGAATGCGTCACCGTTATGGTGGAGATCTTTTAAAAGAACTGCAAGGAAGAAAGGATAATATACCTCTTGTAATTGAGCTTGAGAGCAACTACGTCGCCTTTTGAATAGATAATCTCAGACTCTTCGGCTGCGTCTTGAACTGTAGTTTGTCCTTCACTCCCTTGGACCTCTTTCAGCACATCGACTTCTCCATATGCCGACGCATTCCTTCTGAGCATACTCAGAGCAAGTGGAAGCGTACCAGCTCTTTCTTTGGTCTTCCCTCTTGTTCGTTGCTGTCCTACACCCCGTCCGAATTCTTTCGCAAAGCTCTGCAATGCCTTCCTTTGTCGCTCCTTTCCCTCCACGCTCGTTTCCTCGTCCATATCCTCCTCAAGGTTTACTCTAGCCGGGCGACTTTCGAAGCCATTCCGGTGCCTTTGGACCCAGCTTTCTCTGTGTGTAATGGCTTTGAGGACCGGTATAAAAGATAAACAAGGATTGTTAGTGCCTCTCTATTGATTCTAAAAGGCAGCTGGGCCGCCGCGATGCGTATTCGTTCAGAGTGGGTGTTCTCACTCCACTAAACAATTCAGGCTCCAAATGTAAGGTGATGATACCTTTCGGGGCCAACCATTACATAAGCCGAGACCGAATAGCCCAAAGGGCCGAAAAATCAATATTGTCACTACAGTCTGTAAATTTTGTGCAAAACAAAATAGCCACTACTACACGAATGAGGTCTGAAAAAATCTTGCATGAAAAGCTGATAACCCATCCCCGACTCAAAAAATCAAATAGTGGGCCTCTTCCTGGTGGCCCTGCATGCTGAGTGCTATAATATATTTAATTAAATTCCTGCCGACTCTGCTACTTGTACCTAGTATGCAACATTCCTTTCACCAATTCAACCGTTTATTTTATATAAAAAAATAAATAAATAAAGAAAATAAACTATTAAGGTTTTGTTACTCTTATTTCATCGAGGTAAGTCCTGGTGTTCCACTTATTTTCACTAATTCTACACTGTAATTTCAGACTATTTATCATACAAGCATTTTTTAGTTATACAGTAATAGAATATGTCCTTTACTTTCCCGGCCCAATACTAGTACTGGTAGGTGAACCGATCCCGGTTTCTCATCAGAGTTCGAGGTAACCCTAAGACTCCATGCAATTAGAGCACATTTATTAAATTGCGAGAAAGTATTTATTTTGCAACAAAGCGCGCGAATTCATTGCACTTTTGTATTCTACTTTTGATGTCCATTTTAATTATTCAAGTACTTTTAATAGTTAAGTTACTGGTCAAAAAATACGAACCTCGATTTATAGTCGCCTTGTGACTTGCTTGAGGCGATGAGGCAATCGGGACCTATACAGTACTTAATTCCGCTTTCAATGAATCGGTTTGTCTATTGTCCTGGCGGTATTGTTATGTTTGATCGGCCCAAAAACTCTATGCTTGGACCCTTGCCAGGAGTAAATCAGTCAAGGTAGTACTTACGTACCTTGCCCTGTCACAGGATTTCTTTTTGCCCTTTTTCTCGCAAAAGAAGATATGTATAAATCGCTTTCTCTGCTTTCTGGCGTTGACAGCGCGTTGAGGAGTTGCGTTACGAAGCGAGAAAAGTGACTTGAGATTCATATTACGGTGCCCTCAACAATTTAAAATACCGTATTTATTCGATTAACCGCCCTGGGCGCTTATTAAATTTTTGGACCTTGAGAGTGGGCGCTTATTCAAGGTGGGCGCTTATTTGAGGCTGGGCGCTTATTAAATTTTCAAAATTTTCAGCAAGTGTAGTATGTGTATTTTCCAACAAAACAAGAAATGGTAATAACAGAACGCGAAGATTTAACAAAGCAAGGTTGCTGTAAAATACTTTGAAGAAAACTCCGTCTTCGGGGAAGTCTCTTATTAGTATTTATTCAATTTTAGGGGTGGTCGCTAATTTGAGTTCGAGTGGGAGTGGGAGGAAGGTGTGGTGGGGTGGGCGCTTATTCGAGGCTGGGCGCTTATTAACTTTTTCTGCCTTTAGGATGGGCGCTTATTCGAGGTGGGCGCTAATTCGAGGTTGGGCGCTTATTCGAATAAATACGGTAAATTAAGAATATGATACCATGTTTTCGTCAAACAACCAGGACTTCGTATAACAGGAACTGCCGCCAGCCGGAAGCAAGAATAGGTAATGTACCTCGGCCAGGAAATTCTATGGACACAAACCTTATGAAGCGAAAAAATATTGTGTTAAGAAATTTTTAGACCGTGTAATAAATCTGATCCCTGATTTGGGCTCAAAAGCCTTGTGATCCCTGATCCCATTCTTCTGAGCCCTGAGCCCTCTCCTCTGAGCCCTGATCCCAGCCATATTTTGGGCTTTGAGCCCTGAGCCCATATACCATGTTACAACCCTGAGAATTCCAGGTTCAACTCCGACGCTTTCGGTTACCATTGCAACCCCATTGTAGCAGTCACAACTGGAGAAAGTATCAGAATTCCAGGTTCAACTCCGACGCTTTCGGTTATAAATAAAAAAATGAAGTCACGCGAACCAAGCCGTGCACATGAAATCATGTCGCCTCTGAATGAGTGAAGAAAATTTCCATACGGAGTTGAGTGGAATAACATTTTACGACTATATCATATATCCTAAGCCTTAATTATAGTTATAGGTATGAAATAAATCTTATCCGGATAATGTACACAGCTAATTCATCGATTCTGTAGAGCAAAGAAAAAACTGTCCGGATGCTGGGCACCAGACATCAATTCTTAGTGAATGTTTCTGGCCTCCGTTATTCCAAACTAATCGAATTTCACGAAGAATTAATAAACTTTCTGAGAACCTGACTTATTTAAGTATCTTCACTTTAATTAAATATAAAACAGTTTCTTTGAAAATATCACATATTACCTTCCTTTTCCTGAGCAGCACTAATTTTACTGCGCAGTAAACAGCGTAAATATAAGCCGTGAGAAGTTTACTCGCCTGAACAGAACGGCGTCTTCTGCGACTGTTTCGCAAGCTTTAAACTCGCCAAAACTTTCATCTTAAAGCTGAAGTGTTCAGCTTTCACTCGAAATACTTCGTTTACCGAGAACTGAAAAGGGCGCTTCAAAAATTGAGTTTTTGTTTTAAGTGTCCGGATACTGGTACTGTCCGGATACTGGGCAACATACTGTAACAGCTTAAAGGTAAAAAAAAAAACGCCCTTCAAACAGAAAAGGATACGCAAATTAAGAAATGTAGAGAAAAATGCAAACTATAATCTCGGTGTCATAGAATCGTGAAGATTGTTTGTGTTTGCATGCATAATGAGAACAAAATCTTTGTATAAAACTTTAAATTGTACACGAACAGTATTTCACATACCTGTCGTTCTTGTTTTGCATATGTAGCAGGTGTTTTGCTTTAACTGGCTTTTAAGTCATTTCAATACATTTGGTGGGGAAAAGGGAGGGTTGCCTACAATTGGGTCACGGTAATTTTTGAGGCAGTTGAATTCCCTGGAGGCCTAGTTATGTTTAACAGTATTTACATGTTACGTTACGTTCACATATTTTGTATCCTTAGCACGTCTAATTAGGCCCGGGTCTTGCGGTCCTTGCAAAGTATATTCTGATGCTGAGAGGCATTTATATCCTGACTTCTTGAAATCTTAAAGAAATGCTGAAGTTTTGCTGGTCGCAAACACCTCACTATCAAGATGGTCCGTGGTCGTGGCTCGTCTGTTTTGCCGCCACGATGTCCTGGATGGCCGCCGTAGGTTTTGTCTTCAGTTTTGGCGTGTTCTTTCCAGTTTTTATGGAACACTTCAACGAAGATCGAGAGCGCACCGGTATGTATATGCAGACGCCGTTCTCGTTAATTCTGGTGTTTATAACTAGTGTGTTAGCCGTGTTTTCAGCAGTGTTATAAGGTCTTTATTAGCCCGTGTAAAGGCATGTTTTCTAATCACATGGAAAATTTGCAGTCCTGCTTCCCGGGTGCATGGCCTCACGATACTATGATCCCAGCTACCGAGACTAGCTTGATTTTTGTTACGTTTTTCAACGAGCCGCCTCCCGAGAACTTGGCAAAACGAGCCAGCCTTGCAAACCTGAATCAATATTATCAATTAACCTCTACTGAGGGAATCAAGCAACTCTTGTGTCCCTCTATAGTACTTTAGTAATTTAAATTTTGTATCACTCTTTTAAGACGATAAGGTATTGAGATGAAACCTAAAACAGATAATGTCACTTATTGCGTTTGTGTTTTCGACTGATTGTTGATTATAATCATAACCTTTACCTTAAGCTAAGTATCCCATAAACGCCACCATTTTCCGTTAATTCCACTTTGTGACACTCATCAACCAATTTGATCTTTCATTAAATAACTTGGTTTCCAACGAATATTGTTTGTGTTCAGTGAAGTGTTTGTTTTCTGATCAACTGAAATATGTGGAAACGAACACAACATCCGAGAACATCAACACAAAAAATAAAGGTCAGCTTTTCTCTGTTTCTGTGCTTCCTGGAAAATGTAGAGAATGAAGACACATTGTAATTCCTTGCTGTGACTGCGTTTCTTTCCTACTTCCAAGTACAAATTTACAATTTGAACAAAACATCGGTATGCCAATAACAAATAGATCCTTTGTTATTCTCACAAAAGCAAAAGCTACATTTAAAGTTCGCGAAAACACAAATGGGTTAATGATATGCGTCGGGCATGCCGCGTGATGTTTTGCCCGACTTTATTACTTAAGAAGAACCAAATCGAACGTTTTATTAAGGGAAGCAAAAATAAATTTAAAATATCGTCACCGTTTTAAGGCCCACAAGGTAGAAATGATAGCCTCTAAAGGCAAATCGAAAACGTGAGCTGTTTTCATGGGGTTGTTTTACCTTTTTATGATTACCGATTCTCATTTATTAAGGAGAGAATTATAAAGAAAATCCAGTTGTATTTTCAGTTTTGGCGGAATCACTGCTACAGCACGAAAAAGTGCAACCTAAGGTTAAATAAAGGGCAAAGATGGTAAATTCCGTATTTGCCCTCAAATTTACAACCTCATGTAAACTGTCAAGCAAATGCGGCATTTATATTACCATCTTTGCTTTTGATTTCCCCCTCGTCTGCACTTTTTTGCACCGTATTTGCACCGAGTAAATCTGTGTAAATCCAATTGTCGAGCTAGATATATGCTAACAAGCATTTTAGTAACCTGTTCCTTGCCCTCGGAAAGTGAGAACACTGAGTCGAAAGAAAACTGTGGGCATGAAAAAGCAGATATGAAAGGGTGGGGGTAGAGAGAGAAGGAAAAATTTAAAAGTTATGTTCAGTCATTTATGCTAACGTAACATTTACACATTTTATTTCATTTTATTTTTTGTAGCCTGGGTTGGTTCTCTTTCTATTGCTCTTGTGTTTTTCACTGGACCTGTTTCCGGAATCCTGGTCAATAAGCTCGGTTGCAGGATAACAAATATACTTGGTGGTCTAATTTGTGCTGCAAGCCTAGCAATCGCCTCCATGTCGGAACGACTCGTGACGTTATATCTTTCGTACAGCAGTTTCTTTGGTATCGGAGTCAGTTTTGTTTTTAACGCCGGCCTTGTCATTGTCAGCAATTATTTCAGCAGACAAAGATCTTTGGCTCTCGGTTTCGTGTCGGCTGGTCAGGGGCTTGGGGTGTTAGCTCAAGGACCACTCCTACAAACGATTATAGACAAGTATGACTGGAAGACAACCTACAGAATAATGGCTGGGGTTATATTTGCAATATGTTTGCTTGGAATCACCTTCGATCCTAATGTGAAGTCTAATGAAGAAGAGAAGAACACTGACCCAGGAGGTCCCGAGCAGTCGACCTTATCTCCCGACGATGCCAAGGTGAATCTGAGGAAACGAAGACGACGGCGAACATTTGTTGATTTATCAGTTTGGAAAGTACCTACTTTCGTTGCGTTAACTTTGTCTTCTTCCATTGCACAGTTTGGACACTTTGTGCCTCAAATTCACCTGGTAATTTTACTATTTTTCTGCCTTAGTAATTCAGTCGAACTATTTTTTCCTCTTTAGTTTGTAAAATTCCCTTGTAGAGAAAAAAAAGCGATTAAGATCTAAAACCGTGACCGTACTGCTTGTATCAATAGCTCTGCATATTCCTCAACGGATGATATCGTGGACGGTGAAAGCTACTGGCATGCGACTAAAGGTCTTGTTTCAAAGGGTCAGTGTCTTGAGATTTGTTGATCATTTTTAAAAATAGTGAGGAGGACTACTCATCTGAATGCGCGAGGAAAACGGTAGCTTTAGTTAAGGGAACGGAGTTCAAGTAGTAAGGAGAGTTTCAAGTGAAAATGAGGAGCGGAAGCTTATAGTCGAAGGAGCTGTGAATGAATCCTCTGCAACAGAAGAGGAAGCAATTCTCACTTGACTCGAATATCAAACTAGAACTTTCAGCCAATTACCCAAAATAACTGAATTTTACTTTGATTCCCTTCTAGATAAGCAATTAAGTCGAACAATTTTTTGTTCCGTTGTGAGTTTGATATAGGGATTCTTCTGTATCATTTTAAACCCGGAACGAGTTTTAAACAGGCTAGGGACCAAGGAGGCAAAATGCTCGGAGCAGAAATACAAGATGGGGGAGAGAGATTGTGTATATTGTGATTTGTTTTTTTTAGGTACGATTCTGTGAGGACCTTGGCATAACTGCTGACATGGCGTCCAAGTTGTACATTTACTACGGATTATCATCAGCCATTGCACGTGTCCTAGCAGGCCGCTTATGTGACATCCGAGGAATAAATCCTGTTTACCTTTATCAATCAGCCGAGTTTGTTGTCGGTCTATCGACGATACTTGTTACCCTGGCAAATGATTACACAGCTATGATAGCATTTGTAGTCATCTACGGATTTTGCGACGGAACATTCATCACAACCCTGAATATTATTCTTCTGACGAGTGTAGATTCATCAAAACGGGCAGCTGCCCTTGGGTGGAACATGCAGTTTACAACAATTTTTATGGCCAGTGGTCCACCTCTTGCTGGTAGGTTTTTTTGCCCCGGAGTAAAGGAAGCGTTCCCTGCAACAAACTCAAGTAGCTAAAGGCCTGGGTTACAGATTTTTCAGATTTTTTAAAGCGGTGGTGGAATAACGTATTAAAGTATTTTCAAGATATCCCATGACTAAGGCCAATCTTAACCAAGATATCCTCCAATTTCATTTAAAATTTTTTATAACTGCATCACGTGACCAACCAAGCCCTGTTTTATCGAGAAATCCTGTGAGTCGAAATTCCGACCAGATAGAAAGCAAACCGTTTCCCTTAGTAGGTCCAAAAAGTGGCTACTAATAGTCTTCTCGTAAAAACAGTCGGAATGAGGCGAGGTCAATAAACGTCTTTCTCCCGTCAAAAATTTTAGTTAGGGGAAGACTGGCAGTAGTCAATAAACGCCAATTGCACCTGCCAGTTAGAATGCTTCGAACTATTTCGAGCTGATTTCGTAGACAATTTGTAGGGACATTGTTTTGATACAGAGAAACTGGAGCCACTCGTTTGGCAAGTGGTGGGAATCGTTGGTTACAATTTTCAAACAATGGAGGGCGTGGTCAATCACGTGACCAAATAAGTTAGTTTTTTGAAAGTTTAGTTTACTTTACCACATATCATTCCTCGTGGATGTCTTTAACCATAGTTTTTAGAAACTATACATAAAAACCATAAATGACTTAGATCCACGCCTTAATCTACTTGAGGATATTTTTTAATTCTCGCTTTCTTTGAACATTTGTCTCGCCAAAACTGGCCACCAAGCACGCCGAAACTTTATTAAAAGTTTCGGTGCGTTTGCTGGTCGGTTGCATTCCGTATGTTAGCTGGTAACCGAATGTTTAGGGAAACGTTTACCGACCTCATGTAAGTAATATATAGATTTAGCCAAGGTTAAAAGCGAAGCTCTCGATAATTTTAATAGTTTGCTCAAACAAAATATAAAATCGTGTAATGCTAAGCGGCGAAGGCAACGAGAACGGTAAAAAAAAACAACAACAATAGGTCTAATTAGCAAAAAAGCTACTTTGCACGCGCAGCAGACTTTTTTTGTACATTTCTTTGCCGTTGTGTTGCACGACTGTTACGTGAAACTCCCACAAACGTCCTTCCTAGTTACACGTTTTATGGAGGGAATGTCGGACGTGTTCTTGTTCATTCTTTTTTCACTGTCGCTCATTTTCACCCTGGTGGCCGCTAGCATCCCGCCGCCACAAAATTTAATTTTGTTCCTCCAACAGAAAATGTCTCCTTTTTTTTTCTCTCTCTCGCTCTAGCTCCTTTTCTCGTTGAACCTTCGCTGGCCTGTCGCCTACGTTCTCTTTTTCTCTGTCTTTCTCTTTCTCTATATTCCAAATTTGTGGACATGACAATTAATCTAAGCTTAGGCTAGGCACACGGATACAGAAACATTTTCCGCTTTCTGTTTTCGTGTTATTGACTCTTTAGTTGTGTCTGCTTCACAAGACGCCGGTAGCCAGACGCTTTCCCGCCAAAATAACCTGACATTTGGCATCGGCTTACATGTAGTGGGTGTACAGACGGTCGTTCGTACGCTACGTCATAACCAAATTTTCCCGGATGGATAGTTGACCAAATTTCCTTACCCATGGTGCTCCGCTGACGTGCTTCGCGCGCGAGAACCCCGCTATCAAGCAAGCCAATGCTATAGATAACTGTCAGATCTCCCTTAACGGACATCTCTATGAGACGGGCTCCTCGCGTTGGTCCTAATACCTTTCTTTATAACTTTTAGTTTACTCTCTGTAATGTACCCTTAAAGTTGGCCCCGCCTTTCTCTTCTCCTTTTAGTTAATTCTTAATAAGAAGGGCATCTCTCTAAGACGGATACACAGTGTCGGTCCCAAAGATGTCCGCCTTCGAAGGAGTTGGCTTTCGAATTCAGAGTCATACCCTAAGGCCTAATGGTTGACAAATTTAGCTTATATGATACCGTGCCCTTTGAATGGCTAAAATTAAGAATCTTTTCTGCTGGCCCTATTGTTGACGTTGTTGTTGTTGTTCTAGTAACAAAAAGCCAGAGTAAGCAATCTTCGATTTCCTCTTTTATCTTTCCGTAGGCTTTGTGGCTGACAAACTTGGGTCATATAGTGGCGCGTTCTACATGGCGGGTAGTGTTGTGATGTTTGGAGCAATGATACCATTCGCTTTGCTTCTTACTAAACGAAGAGTAACTCGAAAAAACACTGACCCCGCAGATGACATGCCGGGCTTGGAGAGCATGGTTGAGACTTCAAACACCGAAGAAGCCTCCCGAGGGCCTCATAGTAGCAATGTCACAGATCATTTGATTACGACCTTTCCTGGAACAGTCAAAGACGATAGCGAAAGCGGAAATGCAAGACCAAGAGCCTTTAACCGTAAAGAGTCTCTCCGAAGCTATGCTCATTCACCAACGGACGATGCTTTAGAGTTATTGGTTGATAGCGACAAAGAAACCGAGCAGTCTGGTGTAAAGGCGAGGAAATCTAGCCTTACAAAGAGGAAAGAAAGCGTTAATAGCCCAAATCGTGATCGCACAGCTAGTGTCAAAAGCTATGCTCGTTCTTTTACGGATGATAACCTGGATGGTGTCAGCGACAGCAGCTGGAGGTCTAGTCGCAATGGGAGTTTCTTGAGTTTTGTTGGTCGTAAAGGAAGCTCCAGGAGCTTTACTCATTCCCTTCTAACTGAGGAGGACTTCCCACCTGACGACGAAAGCGACAGCAAACGGCAGTCTGGTGCAAAGGAACGGCGGTCAAGTGGCAAGGGGAGTTTCAAGGGTAAAACGAGGAGCAGCAGCTCGTTGGTCGAAAGAGTTGTGAATGAATCCTCTGCAATAAACGACGGAGCAATGCTCACTGACAAAGACAACCTTCAGCAAGCTGTAATCACAAAGGAAAATCCGGATGAGTCAGATTGATAATTTCACAGGCATCAATGCCAGAACTACGATAATAAAAATAGATTTCCCGGAATTCTTTTGTGCAAGGAATTTTGCTTCGACATTATTTTCGATACTGGGAGCCCCGTAACTATATCTGATATCAGTTTGATGATTGTGTGATAAAAATTCAGTAACTTGATCGAGACTCAAGGCCATAGGCTTAAATCTTTAAGTCCCAAGAGTGGCCAACGTCAATGTTTTCCTAGTAATATCAATATATAATGACGAGGAATGGTTATGAGAGTTCATAAAAGGATCATCTAAAAGGGAAGTGCTTTTTTTATGAGACTCTTTCATCTTATGCTTGAAGGCAGATGCGGATCCAGGGGAGGGTCCCGGGGGACCCGTCCCCCCTTATTTCTAGACCAAACTGAGGCCCCCCCCTTATCTAAGGGTCTGGATGACCGGCAACCCCCTTATCTCAAGGTCTGAATCCGCCACTGTAAGGTAGTGTATTGAGACTTGTCTGTGGAACTGGGTCTTAAAGGGTTACTTCAGGTTTCACTGGGGTAAATTAATCTTTACAACTCTTTCGAAATTAAGAACAGTTGTTTGTTTATTTTACCTGTGAAACATAAGCCTCTTGCCTTTGGGACTTTGATTTCTTTTTAGAATTAATTTACGGATGACAATTTGGATATAAGAGGAAATGATCACTATGATCTCTCAGAGATTTAGTTTTTGGTTACTTATCTAATGCAGCTGTCTATTCCTCGCCATGAGCGAAAATTATGTCGAAGCCTGAAGAATAAAAACACCTTAAATTTTGGCTGAAAATTACAAGATCCACACTGTTGCTAAATTTCAGCTTAATTTGTCGCTAAACTGGCAGGGGCTCTGCTGATGTTTCCCGTCGGTTTACCCTATCTGGCTGACGGAGATCTTTTTGGTCTGTCACAGTAATGCTAAGAATGTCTGAGGTTTGACTTGTGTGTGCCTACATATATAAGCTACTGTCTGTGAAGGCCAGTTGTTCAAATCGCTGTAACTTCGCGATGTAAGGTCGGAGGGTATTGATTTTTTGCACAGATGTTGTACTTGTCTAAAGCTTTGTGACTACGAAAGAAGGTGTCATAAAAACAATTAGGACGCATTAATTATGCACTTAGAAATTTAGCCATAAATTAGAAACTTTATACCTAAATGAGAAAGAAATCATGCTCTTTACAGAAAAAGTATTGAAATTAATTGTGGTTGGTGGCCACGGTTAAGGAGTTACTGTGTGTCACAAATATGATATCTTAATAGGAGCCTTACCTCCGGCCTTTTTACCAACGTTAATTGTGCTTACATGTCGAATAAATTAGATAAGACTGGGTATTTATTATATTTGCGCAGCACAACTGTCCTGTTCAAAAATAATAGTGCGTGGTGTGCAGGTCATGCACGAGGACTCAAGAATGCGGCGGAGCAGTTAAAAATAACCCTTAGAGGTAGTGATACTTAGTTGCAGTGACAACTTTCTCCATGTAGTTAAAGTAGAACTGGAAAATTAAGCTTCACCGAGTTAACAATACCCGCGTTTACTGAGTGTGTAATTAGAACAATTTACAACATATATACCAGATTATCTACTTGACAAAATAATGGAATCCATGCCGATAAAACCGTTAATTCTTCTATGACAACCAAGGCCAAAAGAACAAATATTAATGAAGAACTTCCAAAATGGGTAGAAATAGGATGTGTAAGGAAAGCAATGCCTCTTTGATCACAAATACAGCGAAAACATGTTGTCACACGATGGCAGTTCTTTTGTGGCAAAAAACAGCGCACTTCATGACAATTACACCAGTGTCAAAAAGTTTTCCCTTAAGTAAAAAGGTCTTTTTAATGCTTGAAAATCAACAAAAAGGTTCTATATACTACGGAAAATGCTTGAAAGCACCGTAAACGCTTGAAATAAACGATTAACAGGCACGCATATGTTTATTCCAACGGTTAACAACGGTTAACAGCGGTTAACAGAACATATTAAAGGAAACTGATAGTCTAACTGTTGTTTTTCTTCAGAAAAGTTGTTAACCGTTGTTAACCGTCGTTAACCAATGTTTCTTTCCTCTGCGGTACTTTATTCGTTAAGTTAACCGTCTGCGAGAAAACTACTCCGTTTTTGTTGCATAGCAAGCTCATCGAAGCACCTTACACATCAAGGGATTTCCCGTTATTGTTCCCGCGGGATCTGCGTGGAGAAATGAGAGATCCATCATACCACATTCCCGTTCGTACACAATTCCACATTTGCTGTAACTGAGGCCATGTTGTCCTATTAAGTGTAGGATCTTTGCACTACACTTGGCGAACGACGTAATCACTGCTAAGGCAAATTACTCGCGGGATGGAAAAATGAGCCAAATTCGCGTGACTGTAAGTGACCAGATAAGCGCACTAACCTTCCTCTCACCTAGTGATTCATGCGATATTTCCGAGCCTCCTGAAAATGATTCGTCACTATCGGAAGTTCTCGAGAGATCCATTTTGTCTGGCGATTACATATCAATGTCATCATTTGAGCAGGCAAAGCGTCTACGGACACGTAAGCCGTTGAAAGTCATGCCCATGGTAACGTCACAGAGTAAATGTCATTTGACAGATCATGTAATCAGAGTGTTATAACTTCAATTTTTACTGCTAAAATTTTATTTCGCATTCAAAAGAAAAAAAAAAGTATGCTGAAACAATGGCTTTTATCGATTTGACCAAAAGAGAGGACTATAACTTGAGGTAATTGCTATGAAAGTTAAAGAATACCGAAAACAGTCCGCAGACAACCCCGGACAAAACCTGTTGAGACAAATCGCGAAAATGCCTATTTTTTCCTGTCATCCCGGCAAAAACTGAAACCGCCGCCAAATGAATGCCCGATTTCCCCCCTCCCCTTATCCAAAGTTGTTTAGGATAGCATGGCAATTATACACGTTGGTTTTTAGACCAAGGCAACTTTGAATAGGGGGTGGGGAGGGGGTTTACTTTTTGTGTTTAGGGGAGACGGGAGTAGGGCGCAAAAGTTAGAAAATAGATGGAATTGTCTCAACAGTTTTGTCCGGGGTTGTAGCCTTAAAAGACAACTAAGATTTCTCAGGCTATGCCACCAAGTCGTACAGTGGCGGCACGAAGATATCAGCTCTGTACAATACTCTAAAATTCGAATGTACATAAAGTTTATGTATGTATGTGTGTAAAGTAATGTACCGTGGTTCTTGTGAGCCATTTAGCCCCGTCTTTTAGTCAGGGTCACGCATTTACCACTCACTATCAAGTGAATCTTGCTGATTATTTTTCATTCACCAAATTTCGCCGTTCCTGATTGGTCTAATCCCCCGTCTAATTGTTCATAGCCAACTAGCGCTGACCAAATTTGGAGGTTGCCGGCAATGTCTAATCATTGGTGTCAGTCACTCTGTCGGCAATGACATGTATATTGCCAATATAAGACGTCGTACAAGATAGCGGCGCTGCAGCTTAGCTGTTTTTGTATTAGTGACGAGCTCAACTCAACTCAAGTACACTACACTAGCTACGCTACGCTGCTACTACTAGTACCACTACACTACGCTACGCTACTGTAATGGCACTATACTACACTACACTGCGAGTGCTTTCATAGCCTACCATAACAGGCGCTTTTTGATTCGCGCTTGTATCGCGCTTCGCGCAAAATGCCGCCCTCGCCTCGTTTGGCTCGTAAAGCGCCTGTTATGCAGGCTAGTGCCTATTGTAAACTCTGAAACGTCTGCGGGAGTCGGACAATCAGGATGAGGGACGCGGTCGCGATCGCCTTCATGAATAGAACTAGAACACCTCTATAAAGACTGGTTTTTAAATAACTTTCAAGAGGGTCTCGTGCTTCCCAATAGTTGCAAAAAATCGAGGCAATCCGGAACATTCAGGTGGTTTCCATATATTCAGCTTATTTATAGATTTCAGTTCTATGCAGACGGTTGCGTTAATTTTTACCGAATCGTTAATCAAAATCCCGGTTCTCCTTGTATCAGTGCTGATGATGATTTTGAAATGACTCGGGAGATCGAGGCAATCCGCTGAACGATTGTGGAAAGTATAGTCTTAAGTGAATTGGCCACCAAGTAGTTAAAAAAGCTTCAAAACTGAGTTTTTAATCGCGGTGCCTTTTGTCACGTGAGCGAATCACCAAAAATATGTATTCTCGGCTCTGGACGAAATAAAATTTTATTTCCATCGTTTTTAAATATTAGTACAATGAATGAACATCAATATCCTGAAAGCTAAAAAACTTTTTAGCCTTGATTATCTCGTGTTTCTTAACTGTAGGGCGCGACATTCTTTTCTCCTGAAACCAATTATTCAGTCAATGTAATCACTTGGTGCATTGTCACCGCACAACCGTTTTGGATCACTGGATATACGATGCGTTTAGAATAATTTCATACTTCATTTTCCGCAACATAACTCACGATTTAGGCTTATAAAACCTTGACGGTCACAAGAAATAACTCGCAATGTTAGTTTCAATAACTCGCGACCAGCACCAGGAGTGTAATTCGTGATATATTAGCTTTCAGCCTGCAAACGGGTAAGTATAGGCTTCATGCACTGCAAAAGAGACAAAAAAAGAGTCGTCTTGTCCGATTTATTTTACATTCGTGTAGCTTTCCCAAGTAACGGCGTTTGTGATACCTAAGGCCCCAACAAATTATCGCTAACTAATATCAGCGAGATATTAATATTAACTATTTGCACATAAAAAACTTACAAAAGAACTGTGTAGAAGACTTAGATGCATAATAATCACTAAACCATAAAATGTTAGCATCTGTATGCAACTGTTTCAAATGTGACGAGTGGAGAGTGTTTACTGACGTTAGGGACTAAACGACTGTGACCTTTGAATTTTGAATCTCTAACTTGCTCCTTCGTTTGCTAGCCAATATTAAGGGGTCTTACATGATTAAAAGTTAAAAGCACGCGGAGTAATGTCCTATTTTCTACGTGCAAGCTGACACGTTTTGTTTACTTGTTTTTTTTGCTCTACGTACAAAGTAACATCAAAAAGATCGTTTTAGCTTGGAAATGTTAGGACTCGGTCAGAAGTTTCAAGTTATCTGCCGAACACGACTCACGTTGCCACACGAATAGCGGGTCCGAGTCGTTCCTTGCGGTTACCTCATATGCACATAAATGGACTGAATAAGCACTTATCATGCAAATAACACTGAACAAAGCTGGCCTCATTTTATACATTTGCAATGATATACAGGTTCAGTTTAATTTTTATTTTTAGCACTGATAAAAAACACAGTTTTGCCTGACTATGCTACTTTGTCCTCAAGGAATTTTGCGATGTAAAAAAAAAAAAAAAAAACAGCAACAACTTCATATAGATAGAATAGAACGGAAAGAAAACTATCTACTGATGAAAATCAGCTTGAAAGCAACGCCAGAAATTGTTTAATTATAAACAGACGAATAAAATACTCACAAGACTGAATCATCGTCTTTCCTGTTTTCCACTTAACCGTTTTGAAATTTGACCAATCAGCATAATTTAGACAGGCCAAAGCAATTGGGCACCCAACAAACCCGACTTCAAACTTTCGCTTGTAAAAATTTTTACTTTAAATGAAAATTTGCATGGAATTCAGTTATTTTGAGGTAGATATGATGAAAAGTAAAGGTTTGCCGGAAGACTTTTTGTATATGACACTTAGTTGCTAAGGAAGATCTAGCGTTTGGTCAAGCGAATAAGTGAAATAAAAATCTCAATGAAAAGGCTAGCTCATCCTTGGTGTAAGAACCCGTTAAACCCACCGATGACGTAAAACAATGAAAACAAAGAAGTCAACACAATAGAACCTAGAAAAACATGAGGGTGCAAAACAAAAACAAAAAGTTCACAACTTCTTACACCGAGGTAAACCCAATGAAGAGGAAAAAAGATAAAGAACACTTTTAGGTGGATCGCGTCCGTATTGTGAACGTTCTCACTTGCCCACTGTTTGTTGTTTTAATATATATGCTAGCACTTGCCGCTTAGTCTAAATTAGTTGATTTAAGCCTCTAAAATTCTTGCATCGGGATACACTTTTCTTCACTTACCATCAACAGTAGCATAATACACTGCCGGCTGGAAAGTTAACGTCCTGAAAGCCCAGCACGAAGACATGTCGAAGCTTTGTGTATCAAAAGTGGCCCATTCTCAGGATGGTCACTGGTCTTGGCTCGTCTGTTTTGCTGCCACAATGTCTTGGATGGCTGCAATGGGCTTTGTCTTCAGTTTTGGGATTTTCTTTCCAGTCTTCATGGAATTCTTTGGAGAAGATCGAGAACGCGTTGGTAGGTTATGAAATGCATTAGTTTATTACCCCCTGTTTTATTTTGTTTCGCTCGTTATCACATAACAGACCCCACATGAGCATAATTTGATTTAAATACAGCCTTTCACAGGCTTTCAAGCCGCTTAGTCTAGCTGGTTTTTACCAAATTTATGAAAAGCATACGTACATTCACCTAGTTTCTTTTAAGTTTTGGTCGATACTGAGCCGGCTTTCGGGCTGGTCTTGGAACTTATAATATTCGGTACGTCCAACAAAATCGTCAATTCTTGCCCTACTTTTGAGGGATGCTCAAGGTTTGTGTTGTTCGTTCTCCTGGTTTCAGAGCCAACATTCAACGTTGGTAAAACAGATGGAAAAAAACTGCACATTTTTACGTTCTAAATGTGTTGTTTTCTTTTATTTTACAGTTAGTGTTTCCCAGGCTTAGTATAAAAACATGACTCTGAATATGTTATCATTGAGTCAGACATTGATAAGGACGGTATAGTTTGGATGTCCTCTGGGAATCAAACTTTCACGGAACTGAGATGCTTCATGTGCAAGAAAACGTCGCCCTGAAATAGCGCACGAAAAGTCAGATTTAAGTTAAAGCTAATCAAATGGTTTGTGTTGTCACACGCTATTAGTTTTCAGTCCATTAAAATTTAATTTGTGTGGTGAGTTCATTCATGCATGAGTCTGGTACAAGGTCAATATTTTTTTTTCACCACAAAGTCTCGTTTTCAAAATATAAAGTTGCAACGTTTTACATAAATGAATTCCCAATGCAATCCAGTTGAAAAGAATACCCACGCACAAATAGTGCAGATGAGAAGAATTTTGCTTACAAACGAGGCTTGGTGACGTAATCACGCATAGGCCATTGACTTTTGGACTTTGCTTTACTTCGTCTCCTTTTGGTTTTAAACCCTCAACCCGATATAAAATGTACTCTCCCCTGGACTTCTAGTCTTGTAGAAAACGTTGTACGCATTGGGTATTTTAATTTGTTAAAACAAGATAGAATAAGTAAGATGTAGATTTTTATCAAAGAGCTGACTTATTTCAACCACCTGCCTTCACGTCTTTTCTTAATTGATAAAGATAAGCCAGGAAATACACACACTGGTGGTCATTTTGTTTTAGTCCAGTCATAGCCCTATAAGTAAGATTATAAACTTACTTGCTTGAATTTTGAAATACAGCACTTGGAACCCCGCCTTACGCCCGCCTCCGCTAATACGGTCACCTCGTTATTACGGGTACTATTTTTTGGCCGCCCGGCTAAACGATCATACATTTTCTTTTAAAAAAAAAACTGAAAAAAGCCTAGTTAATACGGTAACCCGTTAATACGGCCAAATTTTTTTGGCCCATTGGTGACCGTATTAACGGGGTTCCACTGTACAGTTAGTTAAAGTAAGACCAAAGGCAAGTTAAATTACCCCTCACTGGGTTTTCACTTCTAAATATTAAAACGCTCTTTTTCAATTCACTTTCCTTTAGCTTGGGTCGGTTCTCTTTCCATCGCTATAGTCTTCTTTATTGGTCCTGTCTCTGGATTCGTGGTCAGAAAGTTTGGCTGCCGCTTAACCAGTCTACTCGGAGGGTTAATCTGCGCATCAAGCCTGGCCTTTGCTTCATTGTCCAGTAGCCTCTTAGCGTTGTATCTTTCCTACAGCCTTCCATTTGGTATCGGAACCAGTTTCATTTTCAACGGAAGTTTGGTTATAGTGAGTAACTATTTTGAAAAGCGGCGATCTCTGGCTCTTGGTTTCACAACAGCTGGTCTTGGTCTTGGAGTTCTTGTTCAAGGGCCACTTTTGCAGCAGCTGATAGACAAATACGGCTGGATAACAACTTATAGAATCATGTCTGGAGTATTATTCGGTGTCTGTTTACTTGGACTGACTTATGATCCTAATGTTAACCCTGAAGGAGAGAGAGATACCCAAGAGAACGTCGATCAGTTGTCCTCATCTGCTAACAATAGCAACAATATTCAATCAAATCCAAGAAAATCACGCATAGGGAAAATAATCCCGGATGTGTCAGTTTGGAAGGTCCCTGCTTTCGTGGCTATAACGTTGTCTTCTGGTGTTGCTCAGTTTGGACATTATGTGCCACAAATTCACCTGGTATGTTGTAAGGTTTTCCCTATGTGAGAAGGCTTTATAGTTAGAGAGAGGACTGACAAAGACAAGGCGAGAAAGCGTTGGCAGACGAGAAACCTCCCGAGAAGTATTTCCTCTTATCCCCAGTCGGAAAGCAATCAAGCAGTCAATATTTGATATAAGCAAGAACCATTCCCAGTTATGATGGTTATGTTGGGACTGTAGAGGGGGAAAGAAGGAACGAGGACGGTATTCGGTTTCGCAATAGATAAGTTTCGTTGGTGCCTAAAGCGGAGGGGATTTGCATAAATATGATTTGCATTCTGTTCATCCATTATTCGTTTATGTTTTGAAGCAAAGGGCAATTTCGAGGAGAGAGGTCAATTATAAATTATCAGTTGACTAAGATACAAAATGAGCGGACAAAGACGAAAAAGAAATAGGTTACTGAATTTAAGGAGGCGGAGATTGGAGTAGTATCATCTTTTGCATAACTGTGACGCTTGATGAACATCCGGCATGAAATTTGCGATTTGAAACTTTCAATCAGTTCCATATTAAAACACACTGACAATATTCATGAAATCAGTTTTGACACAAAACGAAGTTTAAACTGAACTTATCACATCATATAAAAGTACCTGGTGTTTGTCCATAGATCAGTCTAAATGCTAGAGCTGTAACAAAACAACTTATCTTGGTAACCTGCTATGAATGATAGATAAAAAAAGAAAGAAATAAAGAAAGTAAACTGAGAAAAGAGAAAGGTTTTTGTAAGGAGTCTGCCCCGTAAGATAGTATAAGTAGACTATCAACATACTATTATTAACTTTTTATATAATTATTTAGGTCCAGTTTTGTGGAGACCTTGGCATAACTGCCGACAAGGCGTCCAGGCTGTATGTGTATTACGGACTAACATCAGCCATTGCACGTATTCCAGTAGGCCGCATATGTGACGTTAGAGGAATGAATCCATTCTACTTGTATCAATCAGCAGAGTTTGTCGTCGGTTTGTCTACTATACTTGTTACCCTGGCAAGTGATTACACAACTCTGATCGTTTTTACAGTGATATATGGACTTTGCGATGGGGTTTTTATCACGACCTTGAATATAATTTTAATGTCAAGCGTTGAAGGAACCAAGAGGCCCGCAGCCCTTGGTTGGCAGATGCAAGTGGCCTCAATATTTCTGGCCAGCGGTCCACCAGTGGCAGGTATGCTTTCTATTAATTATTTAAGACAGGTATCATTACGATGCGTTCAGTTTAAATAACCAATTCGGTCTAATACCTCTTGCTTTGGGCGAGATAAAAATATAATAAAAATGCAGTAACACAGGAGGAAGAGATCGAATAAGTTCCTCGCCCTCTTTTGCGGCTACCACACGAACCATTAAGAGAAAGGACCGGATAAGCACAGTTGGGTAATTAGTGCAAGGCCTTTTGTGCCAGAGATTCCCAGTTTCTTTCTCATGTGTGGCCTCAGATCCTTATTTCGGATTCTTTCCTCTCCGCGTAGCTTTAAGTAGCTTTAACCACCCTTTTAACGATTACGGATGCAAATAGGGGCCAAAATAAGAGCACTGTCGGCCTTTGGTTAGTAGTCAAATGATCACTATATCGAGCTACCGGCATAAAATAAGGACCCCTTTACCTTTATCATAACTCCGAGTTTCTTGTGTTATCCTTTTCTAGCAGGGACCAATCTAAAATATAATGTTGTTTGTCCTTGTTATTTTGTTTCTTCAGGCTTGATGGCTGACAAACTTGGCTCCTATGATGGTGCCTTCTACATGGCTGGAAGTGTTGTCATTTTTGCAGCAGGCATACCATTCCTTTTGCTTTTTACCAAAAGAAGAACAGCTGATCGACGTTTGGCAGTCGAGGGTGGCCTCCAGCAATGCTTGGAAAACACGGCAGCAAACTTAGAGGCTAAGGAAGGCGCTTCAGAGTCATCCAGTTATGACGTCAATAAGTCGGCAGTGATAAAGCGGTCACCTATCATAAATAAATCAAAATTGTCTTGTACAAAAGCGAACGGAAAAGGTGGATTAAGCCGAAAATATAGTTCCAGTGGTGATTGCAGAGCTTATGCACTAAATCTACAAGACTCTCTACCGCAAGCGTCCCAGCTTGCATCAAATGGGTTTGTAAACAAATCGTTTACTATGAGCGATGAAGTGATCTCCCGCGAAATAGAAATACTAAAATTGGAGAAAGACCTCCAGGCTGAAATTGATGTTAGAGTGCCACAATTCGCAAGAGAGGACGAAAAAGAAACGGTAGAACAACTTCAGTACGACACGCGGCTGTAAGTAAGCTAGCTCACTGGTAAATTAGATCTTAGCCTGCGTGGCAGGCGTTTGAAAGGGAAGGGAAAGGGGGTTTTGGGCGCGAGGGAAACGCGAGGGGCGCGCGAGGAGGAAGGGAGGGAGGGAAACGCCTGCCAGGAAACCATTGTTTTCGCTATCCCGCCTACTAATTATGTATGCAAAAATAACGCAACTGTGAATGACTAGCTGTCAAATAAGTCTGGCCGCGATGCGCTTATTAAGTCGTTCGCGTACTGTTTTTCTTTTGTTTTCCTAAAACAAGAAATCTGAAGTGAAGTTACTATTAAAAAAAGTGTAAATGCGGTCGTCCGTTGAAAGAAGAAAGTCGCAACCATGCGTGGCTTGTTATATAAACCAGCATAAATCTATTACGTTTTTGCTGAAGGTATCGTGTTGGACTTCCCAACTTGCATGCAGCGTTTGTCGTAGAAATTAATTAAAAACACTTTGCTGACTCTCGAAGTGGATCCAGCGCAGCATACAAAAGAACGCTGGTAGCACGGAAAGAAGAGCGGAACTTCAAAGATCTACAATAAGGCTAATTCTGCAATCAATATTATTATTGAAGTAAGTTCCTGGCGGCTTTATAACGTCTATAACCAGCAAGAAGAAGTCCTCAAACCAAAAATCGCTAAGGATTATAGATCGCTTCGTCTTCAACAGTCTGGTCGTTGATAAGCGTAGCCTGCGTGGTAGGCGTTTAAGGTTAAACAGCAGATAACAAGCACACAGGCAGCATGATTTTTCCTTTCTCTCTTCTAGTCAGTAAAACAAGCCGTAGAGAGCAAGACTTCTCAAAACCAGTCAGCAAAACTCATCTAGCTGACAGGTCTTTTCCTTCAAACGAGTCTTTTAACTGCTTTCTTCTATTCTCCTTTCAAGCTGAAATAGATACCTTCAGTTTCTAATCGTTCTAAACGATGAATTCCATACAGAAATCTCATCACGCCTCACTAACAACATATTTTTAAATGATTACTGAAAGATCGATTAAGTTACTCAGTACCGTGATGTTGATTTCAGCCAATCGGATTAAGGTATTACGGCTGTGATTGACATGTTTTGAAGACGGGCCAATCAGGATTTTAACATTCGCCTGGTGGATGTTAAAAACGAGAAAAACAATGGTCTCCTGGCAGGCGTTTCCCTCCCTCCCTCCTCGCGCGCCTCTCGCGTTTCTCTCGCACCTAAAACTCCCTTTCCCTTCCCTTTCAAACGCCTGCCACGCAGGCTAATTAGATCTAGGGCCGTGATGTTGCGTTGGATTCTGGCTAGAATCAAGCAGTCTTGGCGACTGAAATTAGAGAAAACACTGTAGTTATCTACCAAACAATTGAGTGCAACCCAGTGAGCGTATGTGCCATCTAGTTTAAGGAGATTTAAAATCAAAAGGCCAAGTGAACATCAAGTCTTTCCATTTTGAACATCTCATCTCTGAACATCAAGCCCACTGGTTTTTTCTTTCCGTTCAATTAACAGACAACTCAAAACATATATTTTTAGACTAGCTTTTACTTCATTTTATTTTTATGGTCATTTTATTCTATCTATGTATTTTTATCAGCATTTTTACTTTTAACGGTTTTATCTATCATAGATTAATTCCAAAAAAGCATTTTTAATCATTTTTATGTCAAAGGGCGCTATTAATAGTTATCTCAAAGATTTTATAGCCACCTAATTGATTTACACAATCTAGACTAAAATGCAGTTTGAATTCTGGTCTTCGGGCTCTGGTAGGTTAGTCATTTTTCTTCTGGGCCTTGGGAATAAATGTAAGGTAAAACAACTCGTTTTAGTGAAGCTGTTATGGTTTAGACCCTCTTTTATATAAACCATATAAGACCTTGATGCACGAACACCGGTAATAATTTAAACCAGGCAAAAAGTTAGAAGAGTATTTGCACCTGGATTTTTTTTAAAAAAAGCGCTTGCTCTGACTTTCAACCATCCAAGTGAAATAATTCTTTCCACAGGGCGGGTGATTACTGAAAAAGTCACCAAACAGGTGCCCTCAAATCATTTATCCTATGAGAGCGCGCTCGATATGATCGATAAATATCAGTCTTTTGAAATTCAGAAAGACTGTGGAAAATAATTGTTTCTATTAAAGAGAACAACAGGCTGCTGAAGCTGCACTAAAATTTTAAAGGCGCACAGTGATCCGACATCACGGATATGCGCGGGAAGGCTGTTCCACAATTTAAGCGCTGCAGCGGAAAACGATCCAGCACCTACAGTTGACACCATACGCCCCTTGGGATGTTCCAAAACAATAGAATGATACGATCTTAATGAATATGAAGAATAAGTCCTAATGCTAACTAAATCACTAATGTACAGAGATCATGGCAGGGGCTGATCCAGGATTCTTTTTAGGAGGGGGTGCCCTCGTCTCTTGCTCTACTTCAACACCAATAAACCACATAGTTTTTTTTTGCAGAATACCAGTTGTATTAGAAAACCGCAGGTCATCTCAGGCGGGGGAGGGTGCGCACCCCCTGCACCCTCCCCCTAGATCCACCCCTGCATGGCTCCCTAACTCTCCCTTGGAAAGCTTCCCTCATATCATTACAAGTAGCTGGAAATATTCCATTGAGAAAAAATATATATATATATTTAAGTAGCGTTTTTAAGGATTAAGAAAGGATTGCCCGGAGTTTCGTCGAAGATGAGGCCTTTCCCATTAAGCACTAGACAAAGTTGTGGAAGTTTTAGTCTTGATTTTATGTATTTGCTTACAAAGCGTCAACTTAAGCGATCACTGCACTTTGCAAAACTTGTTGCAGTATTGACTGGAGACGTTCCCATGGGCCCAGCACTTGTCGGACTTACTCTCCGCCCGCACTAAGGGGCATTTTTTGAGCGTATAGATTAAGTGTAGTCACCCCAGGGCATTTGCCACCCTCCCCCCTTAAAAAAAACAAACAACCAAACAAACAAATGAACTAAGCATGAATTCATCTAGCCTGCGTAGCAAGCGTTTCCTTGCTGTTTCGGAGCAAAGAAAGACTGAGGAATTTAATCCTCGAAACAGCACGGAAACGCTTGCTACGCAGGCTAGAATTCATCACTTTTGACGTTTTTCGCCGTTGTCACCGACAATTTATGTTTCGTAACGAAAGTGTGACGCGATCTAAATAACGTGTCTTGCAAAGTCTATCAACGGGTCATTCCATCTTCCCGTATTCCGGAATACAAATACGCAAAAGTTTTGTTACAAATCTCTTCTACCATGATTCTTGGAACATTTACACGTTAAATACAATAGAATGTTTTATTTCAAGAAGTTTTGTAAATATTGCAACGCAGTGAAAGCCGAAAAAATATTATTTATATTTCCGTAAGAGCCGGACTGATAGGGTCCATCGAACACACCCTGAAAAGCACAACAAGTGTGATCCGCAGTCACATCTCAAATACGGCTGGAAAACAACTTATAGAATCATGTCTGGAGTATTATTCGGTGTCTGTTTACTTGGACTGACTTATGATCCTAATGTTAACCCTGAAGGAGAGAGAAATAGAGAGAGATACCCAAGAGGACGTCGATCAGTTGTCCTCATCTGCTAACAATAGCAACAATATTCAATCAAATCCAAGAAAATCACGCATAGGGAAAATAATCCCGGATGTGTCAGTTCGGAAGGTCCCTGCTTTCGTGGCTATAACGTTGTCTTCTGGTGTTGCTCAGTTTGGACATTATGTGCCACAAATTCACCTGGTATGTTGTAAGGTTTTCCCTATGTGAGAAGGCTTTATAGTTAGAGAGAGGACTGACAAAGACAAGACGAGAAAGCGTTGGCAGACGAGAAACCCCCCGAGAAGTATTTCCTCTTATCCCCAGTCGGAAAGCAATCAAGCAGTCAATATTTGATATAAGCAAGAACCATTCCCAGTTATGATGGTTATGTTGGGACTGTAGAGGGGGAAAGAAGGAACGAGGACGGTATTCGGTTTCGCAATAGATAAGTTTCGTTGGTTCCTAAAGCGGAGGGGTTTGGCATAAATATGATTTGCATTCTGTTCATCCATTATTCGTTTATGTTTTGAAGCAAAGGGCAATTTCGAGGAGAGAGGTCAATTATAAATTATCAGTTAACTAAGATACAAAATGAGCGGATAAAGACGAAAAAGAAATAGGTTACTGAATTTAAGGAGGCGGAGATTGGAGTAGTATCATCTTTTGCATAACTGTGACGCTTGATGAACATCCGGCATGAAATTTGCGATTTGAAACTTTCAATCAGTTCCATATTAAAACACACTGACAATATTCATGAAATCAGTTTTGACACAAAACGAAGTTTAAACTGAACTTATCACATCATATAAAAGTACCTGGTGTTTGTCCATAGATCAGTCTAAATGCTAGAGCTGTAACAAAACAACTTATCTTGGTAACCTGCTATGAATGATAGATAAAAAAAAGAAAGAAATAAAGAAAGTAAACTGAGAAAAGACAAAGGTTTTTGTAAAGAGTCTGCCATGTAAGATAGTATAAGTAGACTATCAACATACTATTATTAACTTTTTATATAATTATTTAGGTCCAATTTTGTGGAGACCTTGGCATAACTGCCGACAAGGTGTCCAGGCTGTATGTGTATTACGGACTAACATCAGCCATTGCACGTATTCCAGTAGGCCGCATATGTGACGTTAGAGGAATGAATCCATTCTACTTGTATCAATCAGCAGAGTTTGTCGTCGGTTTGTCTACTATACTTGTTACCCTGGCAAGTGATTACACAACTCTGATCGTTTTTACAGTGATATATGGACTTTGCGATGGGGTTTTTATCACGACCTTGAATATAATTTTAATGTCAAGCGTTGAAGGAACCAAGAGGCCCGCAGCCCTTGGTTGGCAGATGCAAGTGGCCTCAATATTTCTGGCCAGCGGTCCACCAGTGGCAGGTAGGTAGCTACGTGGTGTAAGCATCATA